TTAAATGTCTCCTGGTCCTGTCTAACATTTAGCCCATACTTTGGCTCCGTTTGTTGGCCATGTCTCATGTCAGTTCAAACCACAACAGGATTTTGAAATAAAATTAATGAATGAATTCAGTAAGGACATTGGCAATAGCTTCAATATCAACCCAATCAGAAAAGTTTAATTACATGTACATGTAATTACTACACAAATTGAAGTAGGTTAGGCTTTACAATCTAAATTCCCTCCTAATCCTATGATTAATTGTGCCAAACTTTAACTTGGTTTAGCTTTGTGTTATAATATTAGAGTATGTTATGTTGTGCTCTATTTCCAGCTAAGTTAACTGATGTTTTTGCCTTAATTGTGCCAATCTTTGTTTTTGTTTTATATACTTATTTTTTCAGAATATATGACCTTGTGCTGTCGTCTTCATCATGCTGGAACTAGTAAAAAACACCTGCACTGTCCATGTGGTAGAGTATTTATTAGAAGTGATCTACATCGTAGGTTTCGTGTTCATCGTAAAACTGTCTGCCCCTTAACAAAACATTTTCATCCTGTTAAACCAAAGTGTGTTGTAAAGAAATGTCCCCCATGTTGTACGATAAATCCTGTTCCTGAAGACCAACATCGAAGTATTTTTGACTCCTATGAAGAGTTCATGAGGGAAGCCAGTGCTAAGTGTTCAAGTTGTGATAAATACCATTGTTTGGTGTGTTCAGTAACTTTATACAACCCCCAGAAACAGTGGGTGTTAAATAGACATTTAAAACGTCATTACCAAAGTCGAGTTACTTTACCTGGTAGAGAAGGTTTGTTTCATTTTATTTCATTCTTCAACTTCAATTGAGAAGAGCTCATATTGTTTTGAGTTATGTTAGGTATATATAAAATAATCATCCAGACAACTTAGTAGTTGCCAAAATGCAAGCAATATTCGTGATGGGGGTCTCAGTCCAACTGTATGTACGGTATAAATAAATAAACCAAGTAAAATGCAGTGTGAAATTCTAAACGGGTGAACATGAGGAAGTAAATCAATCATATGTGAGTAAGTATTTCATAATAAAAGAGGTATACTTTGCATCAATTGTTACAGCTACTATTTACATGACTATATCCCTCAATCTTTGTAACTAAAATCCATAAATGTTTCTCATTTCTTCTATTCCAGCTCCATTTTTCATCGGATGTCGCCAGAAACACAGTGATATTCGAAGAAAACATTTCCATTGTTTATGTGGACAAATTGTCAAAAGTGTAGCAAAGACATTTGTGATTCATATGAAGAAATGTCCGTATGTGTTGAACCCGACTGGAAATAGAGATAACTATACTCATATGACAATGATCAGACCATCCAATCTAGCCATGTCATTTATTAAACCAATTCAAGTTAGGGCAATGATTCCAAGGAATTCTATGCCGATTTATTCCCGAATTGGAGAAAAGATCCCCCCACCCCCGTTAGCTATGAGTATTTTTGATAGTTTGGAAGAGTTATGCTCTGTGATAAAGAGATGCTATACTTGCTGTACTCAGTACCATTGTCCACTGTGCTCAGATTCAGTTTATCAACCATCAAGTCGCAGGATGTTGGCCAAGCACCTGCTGAAGGTTCATTATAAACAGAAAATTAAACTACCTTCAGGTAAGCGTTATTGACATATTCCATGCCCCTATTCCATGTCTAGTCATTAATATAAGATCAACACATTTCAATTTGAAGAATGAAATAGGAGCCATTATAAGTTGTGACTTCCCATGGGTCCACCCTAAAAGTCAAACATTGTAATGTATGTTTCTACACCTAGGAATAAAAATTTACTGAATTAAGTTTGGTGGTTTTGTCCATTGACGTCCTATTTTGATTGTTCACGATTTCAAGAGTGATGCTCAATTGGCTCTCTAAGCAACACAGGTCAAACTTTGTATGTGTGTCCTTAAACACATTTACTGGTGTTTGTGGCCAATGACCTCCAACTGTAGACATATTGTATTGGTGTTATTATAATTCTTGTCATATTTCAGGACAGCATAGTTTCCCCTGTTATTTACCACATCAGGATCGTAAGAAGCCAGTTGAACCAAAACATCACCATTGTGTATGTGGATACGTTCAAGTGAAGAAGAAACGTTTTTTATCTCATACTAGATCATGTAAACACAGCCAAACTCGAATACTCAATCCAGCAGTTGAACGACTCCATGACTATCTTGTACCAGAGACTCAACTTCATAATAACTTTGGTAATCTACAACAATATCCACACACTGGCAACTACAATCAAGTTGAGGAAGTGTATGAAGTCTCTTCTAGTGAAGAAGAAGAAGCTCCAAAGAAGATCAAGGAAGTCCCAGAGCCTGAACCCGAGGAAGATCCCAACAAAACAGTCGACATGGATCATAACATGTACTGTCAGAAAGTAGACCATTGGGAAGAAACTCTGGAGGAACATCTCAAAGCCAAGTCCATGATGACCTCAATAGAGGTTCCAGAAGATGATTTTGACGATACTGGGGATGTTCAGTTTGGTCCATTTGAAGGAGATGATGATGATGTTGAGATACTCGAAAAGAAGAAGGATCGAGCTTTCTATCATGATATTGTCAATACCTATCAATCAGATCCCATAATGGGAATTTTTAATCCATTTGATATGTTGGTGTCTCAACTAATTCAATGTACAGATTGTTGTGATTTGTACCATTGTCCATGGTGTCCTCCCGAAATCTTTGTACCAAATAACTACAGAAATACTTCCAAACATCTGAGGAAACACTGGTCTCATCGAGTGCTCATGATTGATGGTAAGTGTTGAATAGGTTTATATTTTCGAACTGAATTACTGAAGCACCTGATGCCAGACTGTTGATTTGTCTGTACTTGTAAGTCATTTCAGACAAGGGCATAAAATGTGATTTTGTTCAATGGAAGAATTCTAAATGATATAGATATGACCTAACTACCTGAATGAATGACTGAATGAATGAAACCGTGATTAAAAATCAGATGGTGCCTTAAATTCAGTTCCTCAAGTTATTGTCAAACTTTCGGAGCTCCCTCTTGAGTCACTTTCAGTCGAATTTGAGAACCAATAGGTTAATTTGACAAACGTTCAAGAGGGCTGTCGTTAGACCCTTACTAAAGTGGCTATATTAAAAATTAAAGATAATATGAAATCTGAACGTAAGTTAGGTCTTATTTTAATTAGCCATTTAAGATTTTTGTTTTGGGGAATCCACACAATTGATTTGGTAATCACATCATGTCATTATATATTTTCAGGTACATTCTCACTACCTTGTTATCATGATCATGGTTTGGTTCTATCTAAACATTATCATTGTATGTGCTCTGAGGTGGTACAGGCAGCTCCTCATGTTTTTTACAGACATGTAAAATCATGTCCTTATATGGTCAATTTAGTAGAGGAATGTCGTCTTGGAAATCAAGAGGTCAATGCTCCAATGCCAGCACGTGAAGTTTTGTACCAAACTCAGAATAAATCCAAACTAGACAAAGTTGTGGATCAGTTAGAAATTCATATCAAGTCACCTCAAAAATCCAGCACACAATCATCATCAACAAAAACTTCACAGAAAAAGCAGAAATCAAACAGATCAAAATGTAAGCGAAAATATGAAAAAAAGAAGAAGGCGAAAGAGGACAGTTCTGAAGATGAAAATGTAGCAGCAGCTCAATCCATTATGTATGAATCACAAGATCTCGTCATAGCAGAAGATGGTCAGTCGATAAGGAAACGAAGACGAAAAAACACGGAGGAAGGGGGTAAAGGAGATTATATGACTGTATATGAATTTGAAGAGCAGAGTCAAATTAAAAACAATGGAGGGGCCTTTGTTCAAACCCAGCATTCTGAATCTCAAGTAGCTACTCAGAACATTATCATCAATGCTCTGGGAGATGAGGTCTTCCAGCAGGGATGTACGTACGATATTGTCATTCCACCTGATGGATTGATAGATATTAACAGTATTCAACATATGCTGCCATCCGGGAGCTCTTATGTTATAGTAGATAAATAATTGCATGCTTCCTGATAATGCGCTCTTTGGTCTGTTTAATTAATGTGCTTTCGGTTCTTATTGAAGTTCCATAAATAATGCATGGTGGTTCATTATAAATAATTGCATGTTGGTTGATTACCACCACTTCCTGATAAAGCCCACTTTGGTCATTTTGAAATTAATGATTTACAAACTAAAGAAGCAATGTTAGCTGGTATATTATTGAATTGAATAGATAATGTCCACTTTCAGGGAACATCTTGATTGATTCTTACTATTTGAAATGGATGATTAAAGAGAAGGCATGTTTAATATCTTGTTAGGTATATGAAATAACAAATTGTTTTGTGGATGGATGAATTCCATAATTATTGGGGTAAGTATAGAGCTGTTGATTTGGCTTTTTTTGTTGGTCATGTCAGGGTTCATCAGTTTTCTTAGCCAAATATTACTTCTCTCGATTTATGAAGGTGTACAAGCTGATGACATCTAGTAATTGATATAGCACCAGGTGGATTTTCCTGTCTCTAGATTTGTTCAGACGAACACAATCACAGCTTTGTTTCAATAAATTTAATTAATCAAGAAATAATCATTTAGGTTTAGAGATCACATTATATAACTAAACTAAACACAGGAGAAGTTTACCTGTTGTTTAATGATTAAGGAATAAATCTAAATAAGTAAATTTAGTGAGAAGACTTACTGGATGAATTATATTGAGCTCTGTGAACCATGGATGTATGTATGTATGTATTGTTATGTTGTTAATGACTATGTTCAGCTTGTTATTTGTAATATTATTCATTAAAACAATGAACCATGATTCCAGGACCCACTACTTTAGAATGAAACATGGATTCAATGCATTCCTTTTAGCCATTAATGAAAATCTTTCCCACCTTCCCATGATTTTCCACAGTTTATATTGTACTATTGAGAGTGACTTTTACACTAGATGTTACAAAAAAAAAAACCATATTTGAATATTTTTTTTATATTATATCACGTTCATCACACATTTAACAAAATTTATCTAGATACAGATCTGCCGGCATATTCTCCAATTGATCTTAGTGCTTGGATGTCCTAGGGTCTTAACTTATACTGTTTCTAGAATATCCAAGCGCTAAAATCGTTTCGAAAAAAAAAGAAGCCTGGTTATTCTTATTATCACAATAGGCTTGTGGAATCGAAAATAAATCTCTTAACTGAAGGATATCATACTAGTTTCTAGAGATGACAACACTACTCTGAATGCCAATGTAGGAACACTGCTCTGAATGCAAACTTAAGAACACTGCTCTGAATGCAAACTTCTTACAATATTTCATTCGAGTATATATCTCTCTCAATTTAAATCAAGTCTACATAACTTGCTATATAGTACTAGCTGACACCCGGACAATATATTTCTTGCAGCTGGGACTGGATGAGAGGTGCTACCGTTTAAATGACACTCTAGATAGGGTCTTTGATATAGAAATTAAACTGATAAAAGAAATACACACTTCCATATCACAAATCTCACACTCTTTACAAGGCTTTTTCTCAGTTCTCATTTTTAAAGATAGTCTTATCTTCAATTCACCACACAATAAATTACAATTCAGGCTATTTACACATCATTCTTTTATACAAGAGCTTTTTAACCCTTTCAACCCGAGCAGCCATTTTACCACTCACACACTAACGCAATATATACCTTGATCAGCCAGGATACCGGCCGTTGCTAAGTGACGTCTTACGCTTTTACTTTTATTACTTGGAGTTCAGGGTATATGATGTTATATTTCATTTACACTCAGGGTTCAAAGGGTTAAACACTAGTCCCTACCAATGGGTATTATTTGTACACATACAAAGCTTATTTAAAGTTCAATTTTTCATCTGGTTTGAAAAAGTTAAGGAATTTTCATTTTTGAAACATACCAGAAATGGTTAGGAAAAATAATAAAGCAAAATTGATATCTGAATATACAAAAATAGGGAGAGAAAGAAAACCAGAATGAGTTCTTTTCTTTTGCTAAGCCTGCTGTTGTATAGCAACAAGTTTTCAAATTTCACAGAAATTTATCCTTGATTAAAAAAACAATCACAAAACTTAATAAAAACATTGTTTTCGAATCTTTTACTCAAAAGAATATAATATAACTCCATTTCACTCCTACACTTTCAACACAAATTACACAATTATTTTCTCTTAAACAAATGTCACCGAAGTTCAATTTACATCAACACAAATTAAGGAACCTCATCATCAGAGCCCATACCATTCTCTGTATTTCTGGTCAACATATAGTTATCCATATCAATAGATCGACAATGATTGATGGCATAGCGTAGTTTCTCTGCTAAAACTTCTTGACTGCTGTACATGGGTAACCTCAGTTGAAAAAAACAGGTCTGAGAAGTTGGTAGGCTGTTTAAACCCTGAAAAAAAAAGAGTAAATAAATTTGAATTACAATAGTCAAATAAGTGTGTATGCAGACTCTAATGGATTGCAAAAAACTAACAGAACTGCAGTTGTGTCGTGATGATACTGATGTGGAGAATCTCCATAAAACAAAGCCTAGTGTTTCTGACCCTACTCCAGCTATTAGAGGCTTCAAGAATCAGACTATATCAAGCCCACTTTGCACACTCTGTCCTAAAAAGTTAGCAAACCCTATCTGTCACACACCAGCCAATAAGAAACTTTACTAATAACAACTTTATATCTAGAAAAGTGCAAGCACTTACTCTATCAGAAGTCATTATCTGAAAACGCTGTGAAATATCAGCTGGGTTGGTTGGTAGTCTTGTTCTTCCAGATATAAATCGTAAGAACTGTATTCTCTCATCGTTTGTAAAGTTTTCCAGTGTCTCCCAGAACCATTTGATTAAAATATGAGATTCTTCAATTCCTCGGTACCTACAAAGTTAATAACCTTGTTTAAAGAACAGGTCTACCATTGTTTGACCAATCGAACCATAGTCTTAAAAACAGGAAATTTGTCCCTTCAAATCCATGTGTGTCCAGAATAATCCGAATTTGAGACGGGATTATGCAATTTTCGTGCAGTTCTAGTTGTTCTGAAGATTATTTACCTGTATTCAAGAAACCAAATCTACCCCCTGTAAATGGCGAACCATGACCCTTAAGACAGTTTGAAATCACGTTGATAAACTTTGTCACAGAAGGTGAGCAGCTGTTTTATCAGGAAGAGCAAGAACTTTCACTCTGACATTTAAACCATACAGTAATTGTACTTGTGGAGCTCAAACTTAGAAATAGAACAAATGGATTGTGCATGTGTTGAAGATGTCTATGGATGATTATAAATATCTTTTAACTACTACTGTACCTGACAACTTGACGTAAAACATTGATAGAAACTTCAGCTGTACCACAAACTAATTGTTCTAATGCTGAAGCTGATAATAATGATAGTAGAGGAACTGGTATGATCCACGACATCCCTTCTCTTATTAATTCAGCCTACAAATAAACAATATTCTTGATATAAGTGAATTTAATAAATAGTTTTACATCTTACTTTTATGTATTTTGTTTGGATTTCAAAGACCAGTAATACCATCTGCCTGACTATATTCTTTAGAGGTTAGCACATTCAAACTGCTTTAACAATATTTTGGTGGGATAACCCCCCCCAGACCTTTCATGAAAACCTTGCCTCTATATTGCTTCCTCATTAGCAATCTAGGTCCTCGACAGCTGTTCCCCTATTAAGCCAACCTGTCCCCTATATAATGTACCCCCAGTTACTGGAGGCTGGAACCGCCACTGTCATACCTGTCTATCCATCTCGTGAAGTCTATACTGCATGACTCTATCAACGTAATCTTTACGATTATTAAAATGTAAAGGTATCTTTAAACCACCAGGTATCACTGGCACCATCTCACCAGATGAACTTTGACCTTCAAAACTGTCTATTGGGATAAACTGAAAGGAGATGATTAAGATAACGTACCACATAAGATTAGGATGCCCACAGAAGCTGTTAAAGTTTTTTAGTTGAATAGCTTGGATTATCATGGTGTAAGCATTCAACTTTAAAATCACTATATAGATTTCATTACAGTCTCTATTTTCCAGTTATTTTGACTGGTAAACTGATCATGTGATGATGGTTATCAACAATTGTTTCTCATCAAAAAGAGTCTGGCTTTGAAAATTTATAGACAATAACATAAACTTGTCTTCATCAAAATCAAAAGTTATCAAAGACAGTTTTAAATCAATGCAAAAAACAAAAAAATCTGTACCTCATGGAAATTAGTTTCATTGACTCCATTCTCCTGTATATTGAGTATTCCTCGTAAACTTTGTATATATAAATAATCTACCTGTAAAATATCATATATAAAGATCATGACATGCAAGTCAAATGAAGTTTTACAATAGGAAAATTTGATTTTCTAGAAATACAGGACCCAAAGTCCTCATTTAGGAAATGGAAATGGTGGAAGCTATAAGTGTGCTAGATAATTATACATAGACTAGAAAAAACAAGTTAACATCTATTAGGTCAGTGGTTCCCAACCTTTTCAGCCTTCACACCACAGGAGCAATCACCTGGACTGTTCACACACCCAACAATTTGTTTCATCCACATCTTCATTATGTGTTGCTGTGAGGTGCTCTCTCAACTCAAAATAAATTCTTCTCCTACCAGTTGGCCACACCCCTGACACTCTAGTCCCACACCCCCAAGGGGTGAAAACATCACTGGTTGGGAACCAGGGTATTAGGTAGTTGATGATGGTGAGTGGTATTTGGTTAAAGGATCTGGATCAAATGGATTGTTTGGTATTGTCAGAGAAAAGTTAAGAAAACTAGAAAATCTCTGTAAAATCTTTTAAAGTACCTACCTCCTCTATATCCTCAACCTGTAGAGTCATTCCTGCTAGCAGCTTCCAGACACATGGTGCCAGATGTAGGTCTAATGGTTTCTTAGTTCTTATAGCTACCCCAAATAATATTCCTAGAAACTTATATAATACTTCATGGTCTTCTATAGCTTTAAAGGAAGCATTCAATAAAAACCTAAAAAGTAAAACATAATACAATACTGTATAATAATATATATTCATGGACACAAACTACAGGGAATTATCCTCAGATGAATAGATAGGGACATTAATAGTGGAGTTTTTCCAGAGTACTTTTTCATATTGCATCAATATTGGTAGAATTCACAACTACTCTTGATTTTATGGTTTTAATTATATTCACCATTCACCATTCACATTCAGAAACCATTGTTGGTGAATCAACTTTACTTCAGTTTGCATTGGCTGCCTTCATGTTGTCAACTGTCAACAGATTTCCCAAATAAACAAGGTGCTGGACTTTTAATAAAGGTTGAATACTAACCTATCTCTGTTATTGCCTGTCTCTGTTTTAGTATTGGGTGTTGGTAGTAAAAGCGGTACTATACCAGACTCTAGTTCCTATACAGAAATATACATTTTCTATTAAAGGGATTGTAAATAGTTTTCTAATCCTTTATGTAAAGTGGGAAAAATATTAGCATCAATTAACACCATTCCAATTTTCAGTCAGACATCTGTGATTCTTGAATCCATTATAACTAAGAGTTTATGATGTCACTATCACAAAGGTCCTTAAAAGCATTTGCTATAGTGATCTCATAAAACACTTAGTTTTACTGGAATAGAAAGAACCAAAGGGGTCTCTTTCCTAGGGCATCTTGTTATGCCCCAATATATTCCTTTGTCCTTTTTGATACATTGTTTTTTATGGGTTTCATCCTCAACCTAACCCCCCTGAATAGAAGTTCACTCACCAGACACATTTCAGTTATAGTATCATCAAACACTCCTCCTGCATCATCTGCCCCTTCACCTATCAGTTTAACTTTCCATGCTCTAGCTGGTAGACGTAATTCTTCTGGCTTCAATTTAACAACTTGTTGAGCTGTTTGAATATACACTGGACGACATTTTTTACCTCTGTAATAATATAAACCTTAATTATCATTAAATCTGGGTAAAATAATCAAAATACCTCGACTACAATAGCCCCCTTTCTTGTATTATAGAAGTTATAAATTTGATTGGATTGTAAGCTACTGTACACAAATCATAGCCCTCGATTACAGACAATCTGTTGAGGACACTAACAAATCGTTGCCTTTACAAACTTATGCTCTGAATGCCATCTTAACAACACTGCTCCGAATGTCACTTTAAGAACACTGCTCCGAATGTCAACTTAAGAACACTGCTCTGAATGCAAACTTAAGAACACTGCTCTGAATGCAAACTTGAGAACACTGCTCTGAATGCAAACTTAAGAACACTGCTCTGAATGCAAACTTGAGAACACTGCTCTGAATGGAAACTTAAGAACATTGCTCTGAATGCAAACTTAAGAACACTGCTCTGAATGCAAACTTAAGAACACTGCTCTGAATGGAAACTTAAGAACACTGCTCTGAATGCAAACTTAAGAACACTGCTCTGAATGCAAACTTGAGAACACTGCTCTGAATGCCAACTTAAGAACACTGCTCTGAATGCACGAATAGTGGTTATTACAGTCAAGGTATTAGACACAGTTTGTAATAGCTTGACATTATGAAGAATCGCGACAAACATCACCTACCTTGTAGATAAACGTTTAACAGTTATGTGAGGACCACAATTTTTACCCTGGACCATGGTCCGTCCTATAGATCTGACCATTGGTAGAGTATAAACTCTTGGTGATAATACACTTCTTAATCTACCATCTATTATTCCCATAGCACCAGTCTCAAAACTTGTCAAACTATTCTGCTATACAAATAGAGAGAGTACAATGTTAATTGAAATGTGAAGTCTTACTTTTCTTTACATACAGAGCATTTGAAGATGGATGGCGTCAGGAGTCTGCCATTGTGAAAGGGGAATATTTTGCCATAAATGGCCTATATACACATAAAAAATGTTAGAAATCCTCTTTACAAACCCTTAAATATTACAGCAAACATTGATAAACAATTTACAGTTAAAGTTATCTTTTCAATTAACTTACATTTTTAGGAAGAGATAGTAATCTCCAGGTATTGTAGATCAGATCAGAGAATTGGTGAAGTAGAGCTAACCGTCCTCGGATATAATATGAATTAATGTCCTTTAATGATGAATATTGAGGGGGTGATTCCTCAGGCAGGCTTAATGTTAGGCTTAATAACGGGCGCAGTGACCCAGGGGTCCTGGCTGGAGGGGGTCGAGCTGTCCAGGCTGCACTGTGAGTTTTACCAGCACTGATCTATAATAATGAACAATAGGTTTAAATTTGATTATCATCAGTTCAATTTATTTATCTCTCAGTATTTAGTATTCAATGGCAGATATTTTTACAATCTGGGGCCTAATTCTAAAACTTAACTTTAGATTATTTTAGTATAACAGTCATCTGATTGGTCAAACACTAAAATCGCTTTTAAATATACTTTTTTTTAATCCAATCAGATTATTGTATTTCTTAAAATGTTGATTTTTATATAAGTAAATTTTTGAGATTAAGGCCTTGTTGACAATTCAGCATTCTTAATATCTTCCAAATAAAGTAGACTGTTTACACAAGAATAAATAGCAAATAAATGTTACTTTGAATTTTTTTTTTTTTCATGAGCCTATCTAGAGTAAAGATAAAACTTAGATAAAAAAATTACCTGAATGATATGTACTCCTTCCAGATTTGGAACACAAACAGGTTCTTTAACTGGGGAATTAATATGTCCTAGACCCAGCTGTCCATCTGTATTACTACCCCACGCCCATACCTCACCAGTAACTGTCAGGGCCAGAGTATGTTCTGCACCCACAGCTATATCTGTTATTAAATGACCATTTAATGCTGATACTTTTTGGGGTTTATTTGGATTTCTGTTTGAAGAATTCGCCTGGCCAATTAATCTTTCTGTAAAAAAAAACACACACAAATTTTCATAATTTTGAAGTCTTTTACATAACATAATAACAAAACAATATAGACTTTATTTTAAAAAATCAAGTCTGTCATGTCATGATTATAACCATATTAAGTTCAGTGACAGGCTTAAATATGACAAAATCTGAGAGACTTGTACAGCCCGTGACTGCTTGCACCCCTTAATCTTCTATTGAACTCCACTCCCATACTTTCTATCTCTCAATATGTTAGTGTAAGTTATGTATGATTGGAATAGCTCACTGTAGAAACAGGGGTTTCATTTTGCCTGTCAAATTAAATCCTTTTTTTTCTTCGACATGTTTCAAGAAACAATTCTTACCTAGACCCCAAGTATAAACACTACCACAACGACTCAACGCCACAGAAAATTGATTTCCACACGCCACTTTCTGGATCTTAACACCTTGTAAAGCCTCTATTTTATTAGGTACAGCTGTAGCAGTGGTATTTCCTAGTCCCAGTTTACCATAATCACCATCTCCAAATGCCCACACATTATTACCATCAACAGATACACAGAGTGTATGGTTTAATCCACAAGATACCTTCAATATAAAAAGGACTATGGATTAGAATTGTTACTGATAATATTGATAATGTTTGGTAACCAATATCTTAAATACATAGTAGTTCTGAAAGCTGTTTGGTTCTGAAAGCTGCTTTGTGCATTTGAAATCTGTATAACGGAAAATATGACATGGAAATCATAAAACAATTTTTTTATTCAGGAAACTTCACAAAATTTGTTGAGAGATAAAAAAACACATAAAAGGGTGAAAATAAAATTAAGGAAATTCTCAAGTTTTTGAGTAAAGTTTTGTTGAAATTAATACACTAAGATATATTTTATTTATCATTATTTGCATCATGAAAACTTACATATCCAATCTGATAATTTTCTAGTTCACCCACACGTTCTGGTAGTTTTTTATTGGCTGTTGATCCGTGTCCTAGACGACCATAATCACCATTACCAAACGTAAATAGTTTACCATCAGCAGTTACTACTGCACTGTGTTTATATCCTGTTGATAACTGTATTATAGAAAATCAATCTTAGTTAGCCCTAATTAACAGTCTAATTAAAATATGACCCAATTCTAACTTAACAGTAACTTTCTGTTTTTCAAGGCATTATCTCCTTATAAATTACACACCAACCAATGAGTACTACACCATAACTTTTTTTTACCAATCATACTTTAGTCTCAGAAACAGGAATTTTTTAGCAAAGCCAATCAGTATAGTGTTCACAGCTCACCATCGAAATTTGAGCCTTCAAATCCATGTGTGATCAGAATTATCCGCAACTGAATGTTAAAATTACGACTCGTCATTTTAAGATACTTTGTGATATATAAAAAAGCCATTTATAGAAATAGTTAGTAAAATTCTTAATTTGAGATATTTTTGAAGGAATTATGCGATTGCGTACATTTCTATAACTTCTGAAGACTATTTAAACATATATTCAAGACTAAAATCAACCCCCCAAAAAATGCTGTATCTCTCCCTTTAACAATAAGTACTGCTATAACCATAACATTACCTGAATGACCTCCTCTCCTTGAAGAGCTTCAATTTGGCGTGGACGTTTTTGTCTGTCACTGTTCCCATGGCCCAGTTTACCATAATCTCCGTCCCCCCAACTGAACACTTCTCCACTCTCTGTCACAGCTAAACTATGTCCATCAGATCCTACAGATGTTGCTACTTGAGTCACAACAAATCCTGTTGAAAATAACAAAATGTTCAATTCAATGATAATACAGTGGGTAGTTATTTATGCTCTTCATTTTGCTTGTTTGACATAATAATTTAGATACATAAAATGGATTGCATTCTGTAAATTGTCCTATAAAACATATCCCTGGAGATATAAAATTTATCAAATCCTATCTTTTTGTATTATAAGACTTTAATATTTCATTATCATGCTAATTGGCTAGGTTTATGCAACTGTTTTAATACCCCCTTATTAATGAAACCATTTGATGGGAAGTATACAACAGATGATGTTTATAATGAAACAATGAAAGTTACTAACCTTGTAGTGTGGCTATAGCTGTAAGAGTGTGAAGGTCATCTGAGTTACCTTGACCTAGTCTACCATAACTCCCCTCCCCACACGCCATTATTGTACCGTTAAATTGAATAACAAATGTACAATTCTGACCGCACACAATCTACAACAATAAGTCATATCTGATGATGATAATGCTTTAATTCATTGTAAATTAATCTCAAAAATTAAAAAAACAATGGCAATTAATGATAGGTTTCTGTGGATTGAAGCAAAGCAAAGATTAATCAATGTACAAAAGGAAGTAATATTGATCGAGAAACTTTTATCATGACAACCTTTATGTAACCTGATGCATTATATTCCCCCAAGTATATTATTATTATTATTTCCTATCATCAACCCAACTTATAATCAAACATACCTGTTGAGCACAAGAGAAAGATGGAACTTTAACAGGTTTATTACAAGACTGTCCGCCTTCACACATCTGCCCGTGCCTACCATATCCCCAGAGGTATGACTCAGACAGCCCACCCATCTGCCAATCTTCAGGATGATTGATAGCCCAGGACATTATCTCTCCATCTTGTATCAAATTCCATTTAGAATTATCCTGAAATCAGCATAGAATATATATATGTATTTTCTACAATAAAACACTCAGCTATATAGTAGGTACTGTAGCTTGTTTAAACCTTCAATGTTTTCCAATGGATTTTAGAGAGGAATAAAAAGTCTTCTAGTCATGATTTACATAAATAAATAGATACTTTCAAGATATCCAATGATGTGTTAAGAGAAATAATTCAATGTGCCAGGGGAAATAATCTGATGTGCCAGGGGAGATAAATATGATGTGCCAAGAGAAATAAATTGATTTGTCAAGGGAGACAATTTGATGTGCCAGGGGAAATAATCTGATGTGCCAGGGGAGATAAATATGATGTGCCAAGAGAAATAACTTGATTTGTCAAGGGAGACAATTTGATGTGCCAGGGGAAATAATCTGATGTGCCAGGGGAGATAAATATGATGTGCCAAGAGAAATAAATTGATTTGTCAAGGGAGACAATTTGATGTGCCAAGGGAGATAATTTGATCTCAAATGAAAAAAATGTATGCCTTCTTCAGTTCTGTAATGGTGAAGAGAGTTGAGGTTACTACAATATCGACAAGATATATTTGATGAAAATATAAGAATTCGAGCTAGAGTAAGTAAGATAAGTCATACACTCACCAATATCTCTTCCTTGTTGTTAGAAATAAAGTCTAAATTCTGACAGAGATTGATAAAGGACTGTGGAAAGGGAGAACGTTTAGTTAAGGCATCACAGGATTTCACTGCTGTAGAATAGTTTAATAACCATTGCCATTCAGAGACTGTACTATCTTGTGATTCAGATACCATATTATCTTGTTCTGAAATATACCATATAACTGTGAGTATAACATACAGAAATATTAAATATTCACTTCATTTCATTACACATTGAATTTACCTTGGAATACATAATGTACCTCAATACACTGCCTATAATACATCAGGTCTCTATTCCTTTTTACATCACAATGGCACTTCTTCATAATCTGGTACTGTTACACTACCACAAAAATACAGAATCCAGTTTAGACTATCACTTCCAAGAAGGAATATCAATACTCTGGAAATGACTTTGGTCCAATCTCCACTGCAAAGTTTTGTTAACTTGTATGGGACATTGAATTTTATTCCAAAAAAAGTGATACAAATATTTGAAATTGATCAGTTGAGAAAGTAAATATACAGTCAAATTTGGACCAATGGCCACCCATATTCAGCCTGACCCTTTTAATCAAATCCAGTAAATCCTCTTATGTACTTTTTAACTGATTTCACTTTTATTCAATTAAATTCATGTAGATGTCTATATATCTTGACTATACCTACCAGTAGTACCTGTTTGATGATGTAATGGTGTAGGTGTATAACAGAGAGCTGTATCTAATGATAGTCCCACTACTAACGTTACTAAACACTGTAAATACTGACTAAACATTAACTGATCACCACTAAATACCATCGGCTACAAAATATTAAATAGTGATGACTATAGCTCATACATATACGAGTAAAATTCATAACATAAAAACAGGTAGTCCTTACAAATTAAAAGAATATTACCTCTTAGAATGGACATGAAATTTTAAGTCTCAATAAGTGTATATAATTATCAGTTGAACTTAAATAGTGACTAAAGAAAAGAATCTCTATATAACACGATATATCACAATTGAACTAAATACTTATTTAATAAAATCAATTATTACTTAGTTTCTTGGATTTATTGGATTATAGAGGAATTCTCTGTATAGTTATGACACCAGGTAACCACAATTTTAAAAAGTTTCATCCTAAGAGGTAGTATACCTTTAAGGATTAATGAACACAATATAAGTCTAGCTTGTAAAGTTTTGATCATTATCTATTCTATCTACCTCAGCTTTGTGGACTCCCTGTATAGGAAGGGATGCAGAGTTGACAAATCCAATCACAGGGTGGCATCAGGTGTTTGGCAAAGTTTTTGGACTACAACAAATACTGATCATCAAACACAGTTATTATCTCACCTTTTCATGTTGATATTGTTCTTGTAGTAAATCAGGCAGTCTCTGTAATAATCCACGGAAACACGGTGCCTGGTGTAACCCGACCAATCCTCGTGATTTTAAAGACTTCCTAGCCACGCTGACAATTCTATTATTTCTATTGTAATTCTCAGGTGAAAAGTGGATTATTGTCAAGTCCTGAAATTAAATTAAGTTTTTGATCTACTTAGATGGACAACCCCAGGCAGACTATTAGAGGCACTGGCACAGGCATCAGAATAATTCTTACTTCTAGCAAATAATCACCTAGTTAGGCGTGTTGGAGTAAGTTTAATTCTGATCACTTTGATGCCACTGTTTTTTATAATTTTACATATTACTTACTTTAGATCTACTGCTACAAACAGCTATCATCCTATCAGAGAACCAACAGAGACTACGTATAGTACCATTACCAGTATATGTCTGACATAGACAAGCATCCTGAAAACATGAAATCAATCATCATATTACTTAAAGGGGGCTGAAGTTTCCAGTTTTGTCTATATGAAGCTCCTTAAAAGGATTGTTGTAAAGAGATTATCTTTGTATTTTTATCAGGACTGACAGCATCGATTTCATCATTCTAAGTTTCAATTTGAAGTCTGATGGTCTTGCAATTCCATTCTAAGAATTGCAAAAAGGTTTTCTAAAATTTTTATTTGTATACTACTAATAGCATTGATTTTTACCATTCTAATTTTTCAATCAAGACTTCCGTGAGTCTTGTTAATACAGTTTATGATGTCATTATTGAATAAACTTCTGATAATATCTAAGGGGCTTTGTGATAGTAGATTCACAAAAAGCTTAGCGCTGTACTGAAATAGTAGTATTGACTTGAGAAAGAAACCATTCCATACAATGAAACATTTAAAAGAAAGTCTTGGAACAGAATTAATGCATTTTTCAATATTGAGTTATGGTAACAATGGTTGGTTAGATATTGAAAGTTCAAATTGTGTTGTAGAACATAGAAACTTACATGAAGAGACCAGATGTTCACCAAGCCTTTAACACACCCAGACACCAGCATTAAACCATTAGGACTGAATGTTAAACATGAAACTGATGTCAGGTGTCCCAGTAAAGTTTTAATAGGTTTGGATATTAGGTTACTGTTATCACTGGCATCCACTGGGCTGCTGAATCCTACTGTTTTAATGGTAGATGGAGTCAAATTCGAGGTCTTTGGTTGTGGAGTGGTCCATAAATAAATACTACCATCTTCACATCCACTGTAATCAGAAGAGAATATCAAGAGAAGATCATTATGTCTTCATTCATTTAAAGATATTTATTATGTAGATTATTGACATTAATTAAAAATAGATCTATAATTATAAAATTCTTTCACAACTAAAAAAAGTTTTCAATACATCGATTGTAGAGTTATATAGATTTATTCCAACAGATCCTGAAATATGTTGTTTCACAGGCTGAAAAAGATCAATGGTTCTGAAGTTTGTACAGCATTTTTTAATATATCAAGAAAAGATATTTTCTAGGGGTTACTTCACCCATTTCAATGATAAAAGAACTATCTGTAAGGGGTAAAGATCACATTGATTATAGGAGATAAATTTTATAATATACTACTACTCCATGGTTTTATTATTATAATCAACGTTTTAACAATTTATATTGTCATCCTCTAGTGAAAAATATTTATTATTGACCTTTAAAAAATATACAAAATCTACCTACCTAGCTAATAGTAACTTTTTATCATCTCTATGACCGAGAAGAGGACACCATTCAATATAGGTAACAGGTGCTTGATGAGGTAAAATAGCTACACAGTCTAGTCCCTCAACACCTTCTTTCCATATCTTTACTGTCTGATCATTACTAGCTGTAGATAACAGTAGATGACCAGTCGGATCCCATTTTAACATTGATATAGAATTCTAAAACATTAAAATATACAGACTATTTAAATATTATCATTTACTTCCACTATATACAGCATACAAGCAGTAAAATAAGATTGTTTTTAAATCAAATAATTAGATACATACCAAGTTTAGTACATTAAAAATAATAAAACAAGAGTCTTACATCGTTCAAACTTACCTGAATTTGCCACTGTTTTCAAGAAAAGGGTCCTATATGACACATTTTGATTGGTATAATGTCATGAGAACAACACAGTGGTATAAACTTGTTAAATTACAATGGAAAACAAATTATAATTAGATTACATGTAAAACTAACCTGATGTGCTTCTGTATTAATAGGTTGATCATAGTCTTTATTAGAAGCTATGGACAATGTACCATCATTATATCCTATTACAAACTTCTTATCTTCATTATACCAGGCTATCTGTGTTATTGACACTGTTAATAGAGAAAAATAATATTAACATTGTCTTTATAATGGGTACAGACTACAGAATTAGTTTTATATACTTTTTAAACAGAATTCAGGAACATCTGATGCCATTTCGAAAGTGTCAACTCAGCATTCCTTCCACAAGTTAATCTGTTGTAAATGAACATTTATTTATAACAAAACACAAGACAATATTATGGAATATAACACACTTCTTTAATAAGGTTAGGCACATAACCAGAAGTGTGTTATATTCCATACTATTGTCTTGTGTTTTGTCATATGTGCTTCGTGCTTCTCGCTTCTAGGTTGCCATTCTTACCATTATATCTGTAGCAATGTTCCAGCTCTTTACGATAAAAACTACAACTGTCTACAACATCTATTAAAGCCACTTTACCATCTAATGACCCAACTAGTATACAGTCTACTGGTAAACCCAGTCTACCTTCAAACAATCCTCTTGTTTGTGGCCAAGCAAGGGCGGTAACCCATTCAGACTGGATTTCGAGGTGACCTTTACTTCCTAAAATAATGGAAAAGGGTTGTAACTTATGGAAATAAGAACAGATGGAACTGCACCCTAGAAATCCATCAAATTGGAAAACAACATTAGGATCTCTGACAGGATATGATATCAAAACAGGTTTTGACATTTGACTTAAAACTTTTCTTTAACTAAACAAACATGAGAGAAATATCTGCCCATGCACTGAACATGACATACTCTTTTCCGAGATTTGTTTAAGAAATGATTTTGTTATTGGCTGTGTATGTGAAATTTACCAAGTCTTCCTTCCATACAACAAAATAAATAAAGAATTTACCTCCAGTAGCCCAAATATTGATCATATTATCACTGGACGCAGCAAGAAGTTTACCAGTACTATTCCAACAGATATTATTTAACGGAATGCCATCTAGATCTTCTGCTGTTTGACCTTCATCACGATTAAATACACAGGTCTGCTGTAACAACTGAGATTTACTTATCATATTCCAGATTCTTACTGTACCATCATAACCACTAAAAGTAAAATAAATATTTTTTCTACAGATGATTATCGAGCATAATATTCGGGATTATACAGTATATTCAAAATTTTCAAAATCATGTTATACATATGTTAAAAATCCATAAAACTTCAACATCTTAGAGTTAGTATTCCTGACTAATGATATACTGATAACATATGATTAACAACTGCTTCTGTCTTCTACTACAGACATTGTAATTTCATTAAATTGCCAATACCCAGTTTTAAAATCAAGTTCATTAAAAACATATAATGAATTCAAAAGCACAAAATCGTTTTATATACATTATAATAACACAACACTTAGAATGTAATACAATATTTGAATCAATAAGTCCATACAAAATCTTAAATGACGACTCCTTTTATGAAATATTAAAACAGACAAAAGTAAAAAATTAACATATTATAAAAAATCATGTATTTCATTATCTTTGATGACATTTGTCATACTACATATTTTTTTATTCTTATTATTATGTTTTCTTGTCAACAATGAGATAATAAATCAAAAAATAACTACTTGCTGTTTTATCCAATAAAAATTGGCTGATATATTGAAAAACTTACCCAGAAGCTAGCAGACATTTCTTAGAGTTCCAGATACAAGTTGACAATCTGTTCTGGTGAGCCTCTAGGTTGGTGGTGGCACAGGGAGGTAAGTCACCACTTAGATCAACCTGTGTATCAGTGTCTGACTGTACACGCTGGCCTTGAGCTGATAAAGCCTGGACTAGTTGTTGAGCTGCCCAACATCTATAATTTGAACTCATTCTCGCTGATATAACACAAGCAGATAAAGCATTGATCAGTTGTAGAGGTGAAAATTTTGTTTCTATCACTGGACTTTCAGTACTTGGAGAAGCTATAAGAGACAAATTGAAGAATAATTTTAATTTAACTATTTAAGATCTTTTTTGTAAACTGACTGACCTGGAAAAAAATTCATAATCAAAGATGTCTTTAGGACCTTATATTCCAATGAATATCAAACAGGAATGTCTTATGATATCCAAGGCAACATACAAGAAACCAAAAGAAAGTGACCAAAAAACAGAAAAAGAAATATCTAGATCAGTGATTCTGATTGAACTCTTTCTCGATCTTTCATTGACACCAATCAAATCCTCGATCAAATGACAACAAGAGAGAACTGTTTTACTTCACCAATTAACAGAACTATCAGTCACCTACCCTTCTCTGCAGCTAGTTGAGACTGTATCAGTTTTTGACTCCAACCCTTTTTAGCTAACAATGACACCAGAGCTTGAGTCACTGTAAAAGTTGAAGGCCTTCTTGATGTAAATAGGGATGGTTTATGTGCGTGTGGAACTGCAGGATTTAAACTCATTGCTGCCAGCATTAGTTCCTAAAATATAACAAATAACTGAGATAATAGATAAACATTACCTTTAGCTAAACCTGGTTTACATCAGCTGAAACAGCTGGTTGTTTGGAAAGATATGCCCACTTACCCTAAAACATTTCAAGGGACAGAGGCAACCAGGAATTAAGATTGTGAACTAGTCAGATTAAAGTTTAAGAACTTAATTTCAGCTATTCATATCAATTTTTTGGATAAAAATCTGCTGTGAAGACACTGTTGTAGGAAAAGACAATAACATCAACTGACAAAAACAAACATGAATGCCTTACCTCTGTACAAAAATTCATGAGTTGTCTTAAAGCTTGGGGATTATCTTGAACTAGAGCACCGATGGCAATAGTCAAATGATCCAAATGCTCTGTAGATTCATTGCCTGTATTTTTACGTGACATCTCCATCTTTCCACTGGCACATAATGACATGAGTTGTACTATCAACATAATATCTGATAGACCTATATCATTTAAAGCTTCTGATAAGCTACAGGAACTTCCACTGAAATTTTAAGAAGTAAATTTTTAAACTATCATGACTTTCGAAGAGATTTAATGGACTTTATGTAGTGTAATATCATACAGCAAGGACAAAGAGTTTAATTTATTTTCACATTCTTATTGGGTGTTTTCATAATACAATGAGAACACTGAGGGTTTGATCTGTCTCACAAAGTGTAGAATAAAGAGCCCTTTTTTCTGCTCCCATTCATATCTTCCCTTCTGACCTGCTAAAATGACAGATTAAACAGAGATGAAAACCCAAAGGTACCATTTCCATCCTGCCAACTCTCTGTAAGAGCATTGCTAAGAATCACTTTGAAAGCAGATCATATTCGGATGATTCGGATCTTACCTTTGAGCCAGTAATTTGAGAACATTCATCACTATTGTTCTAGCTAGTAATACATGCATACCAGCTGCTGTACGTCGTAATGCCAACATTCTGTCTGTACTGTTAGTTAAATTACATGCTTGTTCTGATAAATTCTTTCCTCTTGATTCCATTCTAGATAGTCTTGGTACACTTCCTGTAAATACACAATTAAATGAATTTTTTTGTCCTAATTTTTGGTTCCTAACTTCATGCATGCAATGTGCACTTGTTGGACGAATGACGATAGCACCGGGCCTGTTTATTGTTTCATAAACTTGGACCTTCAGGCTTTTCAGGAAAGTGTCTAAATATCAATGACACAATCAACAGTAAAAGAAATACACACCTAAAGATTCTGAAGTTAATTCTGGTGATTTAGTATTGATGATTCTGGAGCCTAGTGGATCATTTTCAGTAAACCTGACAGGATCCGGGATGTTTTTACGATCTGTCAAACCCAATCTTGGTAATAATTTATCAAAATTATCATTTAAAACATTATGGGATTGATCTTCCATCAATGATAACATCATCTCATCTTAAATTCAAATTAATAAAGTAAATTACATTGCTGTTCATTTCTGGACATGACTGACAGAATAGCTCAATTTTGATTTATGGTTTTTGGACAAAAACTGTCAGTCAATATCGAAAAACTCAAGTACTGTCATTATCAGGGTATCAAAACAAATCAATCACTGACTATTGCTAAATATACTATACTATAGATAGATATTGGACTTATTTCATAACTATCTCACCAATCTGCCGGTAATACATTGACACTTCTTGACTTACTATTAAACACTTCCACACAAGCAAACTACCTATCACTAGGAAACTGTAAGGCTGAAACTTAATTGGAAACAAAAAACAATCCTTCTTTACAAACAAGCTCTTCATATCATATGGTACAAGGCTGTTTTTTGTTGTCAATTCATATCCATCCTTATACCTCACTAAATATACTGGCTTTAAGCCCATGATTTCAGCGCAATTAAGGTATCTGTTGTTTTTTTATTTCTAATGTCCTATTGTTCTTTACCTTACAGGCAATACTAAATAACTTATAATAAGAAAAAGTTTCTAAGTAGTAACTTGCCAATATTTTACACATTTGAAATTTGAAATAAAAATCAGAAATAGATTGGATATGTTATTGAAATCTTCATCACTTTGTGAATTTGCATAGTCATTTGTAAATGTGATGATTCAAGGAAACTTTAGCAACTAAATTAAATAGATATTTATGTGCTACTTTTCTGCACCTGATGGTCTTAATGAAGATGGAGCAAAAACTTGAAAAAAAGCATGCACATGCCATCAAATGAAAAGAAATTGAGTTTAAATTTAAAAGAAAAGAAAATCTACAAATCTCAACTCAAAATCAGGTAAAATTTAATTCAAAGATGAATTGAGGATTTAAAATGACTAAATTTATTTATGATTATAAATTAAATATAAAATATGTGGGAACTGGACAGTACAGGGCAGTGACCTTGACCCTAGGTCATGAATTATATATTATATGACATGGTACACCCGCTGTCTTGCCATTGCACTTCATCATTTTCATTGGAAAAGGGGAAAAGATAACATTAGTAGATAATGAATAAGAAAAACAGCTAATGAGCATGCACATACCATCAAACATACCATCAGAGTTACCAAGTAAATCAGGAGCTATAGGAACTGTGTTTGGTGGTTTAAAAGAGGTGGTATTAGTAGTATCACTAACACTGACTCTAGCTGGTTGTAAATAGCGTTCTCGGCATTCACGACACAGTAAATAAAATGGATGACCTGATCCACAAACACCACCAAACCATCCATCATCATACAGTCCATCACTACGGTATCCATGACTACCACAACTTCCTGTTAGCAAAGAGTTATGATTTGACAATTACAATTAAACGTAATAGTGATCTTCTTGAAAAAGACAAAATCATGATCAAAATGGAAAGTATGGACAGAAAAGACAGAGTTTTTTCTCATTAGAATGTTTTTTCACAAAAAGAGGCACCATTAAGAGGAAATAATTGCTAGTTCATCATTGCCTAGTTCATAAGTAAATCGTGAGCAATTGTTTTATTCAATCAAAGTAAAATATTTCAAACTGTTACTGTAAAATTCTTACCCCCACAGCCTGGATGGTATCTCCTCATATGTCTGTTAAAATTAAAACTTTCATGTCCACATAATTCACATCTGATTGGATCAGGCACATCTAGATCACGACGCTGCAAAAATATTAATCATGTTACATTAATAAGCCAACAACTCTTCCTTTTGTTCTATCCATGTTATTCTGCTGAGATAGAAAGATGACTCTGCTATTACACAAGCATGCCTCTTCAGTGATTTTTTTTCATCATATTTCAAATCACATTTTGAAATGAAACAATTCTCAAGAATATTTGACGGGTTCACAATACAACAATTTCTATGCAATAAATGCCTGGCTGTAAAAATATTCAAGCAACAGAGTATATGAAAAGAATCTCACCAATATGGAGAAAGGCTGTGGTCTGTCTGTAGGGTTGAAGGTAAACATGTCCTCCAGGCCCTCCTCACTGTACAGTTCCTCTTGTAAATCAAAGTCATCAAATGGATCAAATAATGGCCTGGCTTCACCTACTTCATGTCTTCTTTCTGGACGATCTTCTCTTCTGTGACCTAACAAGAAAAATTAATTTTTCCACATTTTCGCTAAATATTGTGCAAAGGAAGACCAAAAAAGAAGTGCACAATCAGAAAAATTTTGAAGGTTCAAATTCCAATAACTAAGAAATCCTTAACATTTGATCACCAGAAGTATACAGTCTAACAGCTGGGAAAACTTAAAGAAAAATTACGAAAATAAGTATTTGTTACCTAGTAGAACAAATGAGTCACAGAACCAAAATTTCAAGGCTTAGGTTTTTGTTTAATCGAATACAGAAAGATCTCAGCTTTAAAATGATGCATCAATTATTGTTCTATGATATTTCATCTTTGAGAGATTGCAATATGAAGCTTTCTGTTTCTGCTTCCTAGCTTTTGAAAAACTTAATTTGAATTACTGTGACTAATTCTGCTATGTTGGGTCACATTCAGAAGCATATACAAATACATTTAACAATAAAACTAATATATTTACCGGTAAAAAAACTTCTAATGTCTATATGTCGACTCCTAGACAGTCGTCTAGGTCTTCTTAATCGTGGACGAACACGTTCATCATAATCTTCTGTATCATCAGATGTATCATCATTCAGTAAATATGGATCAGTTGGAGAGTCAATACGACTTTCACTGAAAATTGACTAAACTGTTAAGGCCTTATAACACATGAGGACTGCTTATAACACATGATGGCTTCTTATAACACACAAGGGTATTTTTAACACATGAGGGCTTCTTATAACACATGAGGGCTTCTTATAACACATGAGGGCTTCTTATAATACATGAGGGCCTCTTATAACACATGAGGGCTTCTTATAATACACGAGGGCTTCTTATAATACACGAAGGCTTCTTTTAACACACAAGGGCTTCATATAACACGAGGGCTTCTTATAATACATGAGGGCTTCTTATAACACATGAGGGCTTCTTATAACACAACAGAGTTCTTATAACACATGAGGGATTCTTATAACACATGAAGGCTTGTTATAACACAAGGGCTTCTTTTAACACATGAGGGCTTCTTATAACACATGAGGACTGCTTATAACACATGATGGCTTCTTATAACACACAAGGGTATTTTTAACACATGAGGGCTTCTTATAACACTTGAGGGCTTCTTATAAAAACACATGAGGGCTTCTTATAATACACGAGGGCCTCTTATAACACATGAGGGCTTCTTATAATACACGAGGGCTTCTTATAATACACGAAGGCTTCTTTTAACACACAAGGGCTTCATATAACACGAGGGCTTCTTATAATACATGAGGGCTTCTTATAACACATGAGGGCTTCTTATAACACAACAGAGTTCTTATAACACATGAGGGATTCTTATAACACATGAAGGCTTGTTATAACACAAGGGCTTCTTTTAACACATGAGGGCTTCTTATAACACATGGGGCTTTCTTATAACACATGAGGGCTTTTACATGCATATTAAAACAGATGTGCTGAATTTTCTTGTGAGAGAATAGGGAATCACTAAGTATTGAGAAGATTACAATGCTAAAGCGGAATGATAACACAGAATACCAAAGCAGAATATTTTATCCATGAGACATTGTTAAAAAAATACATTACCTTGTAGTGTTATTTTCCATATCTTCAACTATCAGACTCATGGGAGCAGACTGGGAAGTTGGGTCTACTGGTGGTGTTGTTATTGGATGCTCTATCATCCAGGTAGCTAAGGTATTGATGGCTCTAACAGTGATTTCACGACCACTTATTCCTAAAAATATAATAAAATATAAATATATCCCATACCATACAGTAAATCTTACGTCTGTTCAGTAATGTTTACTGACTGTTTCGTTCCTGTTCCTGTTCAAAATAGTGAAAATTCAACCTTTCATTACATCTATATACAATGTGTACAAGCTGTAGCTTTGGCCTTTGGTTTATCGTCAGCCAAACAATTTAATCCCAACAATTTGCATCACTGACAAGTGAAAGCCAAATGTGGCAGATATTTGTTAAATCACAACACAAGTAAAGACATTAAAGGTATTATTCATTAACCCATGAGTGCATGGAAGTGATCCCCAATAACTTAAAACATTGAATACCATCCAAGTAGAAACATATTGAAACTGAGCACATTGAACTTACCTGTGGCTGCTAAAGCTTGTTTACACTGAGATAAATTAAAACCCATCTCTAGTAAAGGAGGTATGATTGGTGGTGGCGGTGGGGAAGGAGATCTAGAACGTAATGGACGTCTCATGGTATTGGATAAGGAAATAACGTTTTTAGGATGAACTGATCTTAACATTCTTCTTGTTATACCACCTACATCATCGGCACTGGAAATACAAATAATATTATCAGCAGAGTTAACAGCTTTCTGTTGTAAGGTATGGCTATCTGAGTAGTCTACTCCCAATAAATTCATAAAGCCTAGAGAAATCTTTGTGGGGATTTGCAAAGGTATCATGGTATGGGACCAACATAACTCCAATGTAATTATGTGAAATAAATGGAAACTCACTGGATTACAGCTTCATTGCTACAGGGTTTAAGTGGAAAATTTAAGTGGATAATATGATTCATAAAACTATAAAAATCTAAGTTTCAGATTATACATTAAAGGAAAACAACCTCTTAGGATAATCATATTTCAAATTCTCAAACTTGACCATTAAGAGTATATACAAGTGGAATTTTGTTGGTGTTAAAACTATAATTTAAGAATCTTTATGTTATGATCATTCTTAGAGATAGTATTCCTTTAAAGATAATAAAATACCTAGTGCTTGGTCTCATATATTTGAGTATAGAAGCCTGTTGGTTGTTAGAGTTAGCAATACCAGAAACAGGGTTGGATGTGGATGGTGTTGCTGCAGATGCAGTATTAGGGGTCTCTGATGAAGTAGTTTCTACTCTTCCAGCCCACGGACGAGGTTTTACCACTGTAGTTCCCTGGCTTATACCTTTCTTTAACATGGCTTCTTCAAGTTCACCTTCAAAAGAATAACAAAATTCATGAAGAGACAAATAAGCAAACAAATATCCCAGTCTAATTAAAATTAGACCTAACCTAATACCGTTTGTATTTATTAATTTCACTTCGAATATTTTATCAGCTATTATTTATGTACGTAACCACGACAGTAAGGTCAAACACTGTCACTTCGTGACTTTTCATTTTTTGCATTCCAAGGCATATTAGACTAGCTTATCAGGTCTGCAGCCTCTGCAGCCACTTGATTTGCTAAAACAGAGGTCAAGCAAAGGTTAGCAGAATGAAAAGTCAAGAAGGACAGTGATTGACCTTACTGTAGTGGTTATGTACAAAACTAATAGCTAATAATACATTCGATACGAAAAACAAAATACAAACGGAAGTTAGATCTAATTTGCATTAGGCTGGCAAATATCCTTAAGTGTCTACTATCTATGATGGTAGAAAACATATTTTAATTAGAAATTAACTTGCTCCATACATTATTTTAGTGAAAAAATATTCAAGGTAAAAATACATAAGAGATAATTTCCCAGAAAAATATTGAAATTATCTACTTTACCAAATAATAAAGATGCTTCAATTGAGAGAAGAATCTATCTACAACCAACATGCCAATTTAAATTCATTTTGCAGGACATGCATAATTTGAAAGCCTAGGGCAATTATAACCTGTCAAAATGCAGGTCATCAAATCTAATTGGTAGTCAAAACCATTGCTTACAGAAACCAACTCGGGTGGAATGAGACAAAAGGGCTACATCCACTTATCTAGATAGTCTTTTGGAAAAAGAGTTCACTAAACCTACCTTCCAATTCATTAATATCAAGACTAGAGTCTGAGGAGGATGAAACTGATAATTTTTGTAATACATTGAATGTTCTTTCCAATTCTGACAAACTCACAATTCTTCTAAATGGCGAAGATACCAGAGATCTTTTGACAATTTTCTTCATCATGGCTTGTAAAGAATGTTTTATTTCTTCATCTTTCTGATCTTTAATTCCCTCCAACAAGGATTTAGTAGCATCACTTTCTGATTGGCTTGATTTAGGAACCAATAACATTTCAGCAAATTTATTGCTGCTGATGATGACCCTTAACGACTTCATGGCAGCCATTTGCAATGTCATTTGCTTCAAATAATGATTTTCTTTTTCTTCTTTTGACAACTTTGATTTTAGTTTAGGTTTGATTGGAATGTTTTGAAATTCTTCAACAGGCTTCTTTTCTTTTATATCAGCATTTGTATCTTCGGGAACATTATTTTTCTCATCTGATACCTCTTCTGGTGGAGATGCAGCAACATTTTCCTCAGAACTAGGCTCTTCCTTTTCTCCCTCTGCCTGAGAAGTTGTTGAATTAATATCAACAATGTCTTGAGGATCTAAAGCTTGCCATTCTGACAATGGATGTTCTGTTGGTTCTCGACTAATATCCTGATTGAGTTCATTGTCTTCCGCCTCTTGTGGTTCTTCTTCCTCTTCTTCACTCTCGATTGGATCCACGCCATGTTTTTTATCTGAATTATGATCTGTCTCAGTGGCTCCATACTCTGTAGCCAGAATTCGTGCTATATCTCTTTCTAGCTCCATCATTAAGTTATATGTCACTTTCTCGATAGTTTCCCTACATTTGTTACTGACTTGTGGACGAACAGGTTGCTGCTGAGGCAACTCCTGCATTCCCTTCTCTTCAATCATACAGGCCAATTTCACTAAAGAGTCCAAATGACCAGCCGTGAAACCTGTTAACTTATCAATTTCAAAATCTGGGGTTTCTATTGGTTCAATATTACTTACTGGAGTATCACTAGAAATAGAAACAAAAGTCATGACTTGTATATTCTTAGAGTAGCATGTCCCTTGAATTTTGAAACCTGTTATCTCAAAGCTACCGTAACATGAACGGTTATTATTTCATGCATTTCATGTGTCTTAGAGAAAGAAGCTATTCAATCTTGAATCGTTTTGAATGATATTATTGCCTATTTTATTCTGGTCAAACCATGAGCCGCATTTACACCGCCTTAAAAATTGGTCTGCTCAAAAGAACCATACTCAGTTGGGTCTTAGCCCGGATAAGTTTTGGCAGTCTAAACGCGGCTATAGACAGAGATGTAGCCAATATAAAAAACTTGTTTGCTTACCTGATAGAGTTCTCACCATCATCCCAATGAACTTTAACAGTAGTTGTACCTTCCCTAGACATACCCATCACAATACCTTGTTTACCAGAAGTTTTATGTAAACATTTTCCACCAATTCTGATGCCTGAATCCACTCCTGCTATCACGCATAAGCATGGCCAAACCTACAAATCAATAAAAATCTGTACAAGCAAAACGATCCATTAACCAAAAATCTTGTCCAAAACATAATAAAGTAGGGAGCAATAAATATACAGCAGTGAAATCTTCAAGCGAGAAGTACCATCAGGTGTTTGGTATTAATATATGTCTTTCACAGCAGTTAATTCATTTCTCTTCTACCCTATAAGTAAGCTTGAAAGCTTGATTGATTAACTTCCATTTTTTTAAATGCCAAAATCCTATCCTTAAATCAAGAATGGTAACAGAGACAGTCATTGCAGTGCAAATTTGCGATCTATCATCAGTGGGTTACACCACACAAAAAGTAGGGATACATCAAGTTTTCTCCTATACAGAATCTACAAGTGTCGTTGATCTTAGGTCCAAATAGAAGTGGTAAAGCATATGGCAAGATTAGACAAATTTCTAGAATGTTTACCTGCTTACACAACCATTCTAACTTCTGATCATCAACTTTAAATTTCAGTCCTAAATGTTGGTTGGCAACCATTGGACCATCACCTGGTTTACTATCATTTGATTGGTTCATATCATTCACTTTGCCTGATTTGTCTTCTTTTACAGTGTTTTCTATAACATAAATTGATACAGGCTAAAACATTTAAATACTTTTGATTACTCGGAAGCTCTAGTCTAGCTGTAGCAATCACATTTTCAAGATATCTCATGGGCCAGGAACCTTCCAAGATTTCAATTCCAGTCTGAAGAACAAGGGATCTAAACAATTAAAATACAAACCTGAATCTGGTGTATCAGTAGAGTTACTTCCACTTGAAGTTGATATTTCCTCATTATTCCAATGATCCACTTTATCCAGCATGCCACACATTTTCTTCTTGATCAATGTAGACCAGGCAGGTACGTTATACAGGTTACGTATTAATGAGATATTAGATTCCACTATAACTGATACTGAGGTTGCACAATGAGGATCACCTGGTAATAAATCACGAGGATTGTCACGAAGCTGCATATCTGTAATCTTCACCTACAATTATAAAATCATTTACATCTGCAGTTGTTTAGGAAACAATAATAGAATTGTCGATTTCTAAAATTCTCTTAATTGCATTGAAATAAACCATGGAAAAGTTATAACAGATAATAGAACTGTCTTTTTAGTTAATGTATAGAATCAATTGAATTCTCATAGTTAATGTATGTAACTTGTATTACGCTGTGTTATTATAGTTATGAGTTATGTCTTAATATGGTATAACAATTTTTAATATTTGAATCAGTTTATATTTGAGTAAAATTTAGTATTTTGTACCAACACATGCAACTTGAGCCAAGACGTTTAGCATTTAGTTACCTGTAATACGACAATGAGTCATGCTTACATATTTGACTCATTAAGTTTTGCACTCCACTTTAATATTTGCAGCCGCTGTACTAGCCACATAATTACCTGATATATATATACATAAGATGCCATGACATTTCAGTGTACAAAGGGTTTAGACTTTACCTTTTCACCAGGGTTACTGCTATAAAAGGTGACACATGGATACAGTTCTGTACATTCTATATCTTCAAAAGCTACTCTTGGTTCCTATCAATGAAACATACATATTCAATGTTTTTTTGACAAATCTGGTTCCTTACTGTTTTGGAATTATCTCTTCCTATCCTTGATTTAACCCATGAGCTATAAGTTAGCAAGAATGCATCAAACTCAATGAGCCATTGATACATAGAGCATATCTGTAGCATATATTTTGATAAGTAGCACACTCTATAACTAGATATCTGCTAAATATTAACAAGAAAGAACCTGATTTTTTATGTGTACCAGGGACACTGATAGCATCAAATTGCTTAACAAAAGTCAGAAACCCTGTCCCTTTAAACAAGTCTTGATTAATCCAAATAACATTATGCCTAATTCATTCTGTTATAAGAGTCAAGTTAGGTAACTAACCTCGCCATTTTTCCCAAAAGCCAATGTTCGAGCATCCATATCTAACAAGACTGTGATATAATCACCCTGTGTATAGCTTGATAATATCAACGTCTGTTCTCCATTGTGATATAAATTACCACTATAGGCTCTATACAGCCACATATCACTAGTTGTACGATGGCCATGATCTCGTATCGGCCATTTTGATACTCCAACACATGTCCCTTCATTACCTCTGTTTTCTTTCACTATCAAAAACTGAAAAGAAGAAAAATAATTACAGTTATTGGGTTTGTCAATCATGTGTATCCTTTTCCAAGAAGTATATATATTGTTAATTGCTAGATTTTATTTTACCATGTAATATTGGTCACTTTACAATGAACCATTGTCAATTCTATCCAAAAAATTGTGGCCCACTTCCCTATATGCATACAAGTATGTTTTGAGAAAGTTGTTGATGAAGTAGGCCTACAACAATGAACCAACAAATATTGGTTCCAAAAATATACTCCAATAGATGGATGTTGGATATAAAACATCTACATACCTTCCATTGGTAACATCCAGACTTTATAGCAGTAGTTCCTAGTCCGTATCCACGACCACCAGATCCATGAACTAATGTATGATCCATTTCAACACTACATGAGTTACATTTCTCCATATCAAACGCAGCTCCCTGCATATGGATAGAATCAATGGAAGATTCTGGGGTGGGGGTCGTTTCTCTGCTAGATGTAGACAGAGTTTCAAGTTTTTGAAGCAAGTCCTCTTTCTTCTTTCTAGCCTCCATCTTAGCTATAGCTGCTGGCACTTTCCACATATTGATGTACAAACAGTCAAATAATTTTTCAATCACCTGAAAGGAATAAAATGGAGTTTAACATCCTAATCATCTGCATCTTAATTGATGACTAAAGTCGACCAATGTAACAAAAGATGACTAATCAATCACCATGAACAAGGGCAAATAAGCATCTAATGTGGAAAAGAAAGAAAATACTAAGATAGCGGGGTTAATCTAGAAGACAGTCTCAGTCTCACCTCAGTTCTCAACTCTTCTGAGTCTTGTTCTTTACAGGCTGGTAGTAAATTATCTAATAACATTAAAGACAGTAGCCTAGCTCTCAGATTGTTGATAAAGGGAACACCTACAAATACATCAAGAATATAACAAGTGATATAAAGCAGCTCATATTCAACTGTCTTCAAGTGATTCTAATATTTAGTACATTATAAGATTACTAGGTTTCTAAATGGGGCTTAAATTTATGTATCTCCATGATTATAGGAAAATGACTGACTTCTGACTAGTTTCAGAAAAATACTCAATTCTAAAACTATCATATTGGCTTCAGAGCTACAAACAGATATTGATTTAAAAAGTCTCTTGGATAGCAAAGAATTTACAACTATTGCTGTTCTTGGCTTGAATTTCAGAAGGATATTGAAACTGAATTTCAGAAAATAACTCACCATCATCATCCGTACCACAAACTATGTTTAGTAAAGCTTGTATCCAATAAGAGGTACACATATGTTCTTGTATAGTGGTAGACACGGCCACACGGCGTAGAAACACCAGGAAATCACCAACACTGGTTTGAGCCGAGATCAGATCTCGATGGTCAGATAGAGTCTTCTCTACAAATATACATTTTCTTTAAATAAAAAAAATCATTCTAAGATCACAAAACTAAAAGCTTATTGAAATGTCTTTATTTAAAAAAGGGATCCTGGCCGCATATTCTTGAAAACAGCACTAAGATGTACTAGGATCTTACTTCTAACTTTTAGGGTATTCTAACGTTAAGATCGTTTTGACAATACATGGCCAGATTACAGTCGAGATGAGATCAGTCTTTTATACAAAAACAACTTCTTTTTACTTTTATATTTCTGTATGCTCAAATTACTTTTTATAATTACCTGTTATATTGGAACAAACAGATTCACAAACTAAATCAGGATTGGCCAGTTGTAGAATATTCTGTAACTGTTTCCATAGTAACTCTAATATAGCTTGTATTACATTATTACTCAGTTTATCAGCATACGCCCTGCATGGGAAATCAATCAAAATCAATTTATTTTTACATCATACTTTTCTGAAATAGATTGGACTAATGAACATCAATGATGCAGTTCATTGTATGTAGATAGAAAACTAAAACAACCAGTATTGCTAATTAACCTTCCCTGTTTCAATTCTATGAAATAATGAGCACAGCTTATTAGTTTTTCAGCCAAGAATTCTTTTTGTAAATTCAACCATATAAACCAACAGAATTGATATATTTCTTAAAATCTGTTTATTAAATCAAAGAAATATACACACCCTGTAGTGACAGATATAATCTGTAGCAATCTAAGGCTGGAAACTTGTAATATAGCTGAGAGGTGGGAGGCTGAGAGACAACCCTGCATGGGAGATAGAGTATTAGGTAGATTGTTAGAACCCTCTGATAGACTATATAACAAGGGAATTAAACCACATGATACAGCTAGAGAGACATCTACAGGTTTATATCTCATACTTAATGCTAGCACAGTACATAATAATAGATGTTTCTTGGTATCTGAAATATATCAATTTCAATTTCAATTCTTTTTCATCTGATATTTTTCATCTTTATTGTTATTTTCATTGTTTGATGTTATTTTTAAGCAACCAACCCAAATTATACACAAAGGCCTTGCACAGATTTCATGACAAACCTTAATATTATCTCCATATCAATAAAGTATATCATATAATTGTTTAAGAAATCAAAAAGCTTTAATTCAGTTGGTTCCTTTTGCTCAAACGTCCTTTATCCATATAATGGGTATTTACTCTTCCTATTGCTCTACCAATAGATGATAGATTTCAAATCTCAAATACATTCAACATTAAACATTTAACATCACACAAAGCTCTTGTAAATCATTAGCTATAACAAACAATATGCTAAATGATGTCAAATGCTTTGCTGAAGTCATTAATCTCTCCAATTTTAAATTGAAGCAGCAGTTCACTTAATAAAATGTTTGACATACCCATGCCAAATTGGTGAGAATTATAAATATCACAGAGAGATTTGACTAGTAATTCATATATCTGATGTACAGCCAACTGGATTTCTTGTTGAGTTTGAGAATTGGCAGATTTTATACCAAACTACAATAATAAGACAAGAGATCAAAATACAGCTCTGGGATCATGGGAGACATGATTTCTGGTAAAACAATTGTATTTTTGCTGTTCAAATACAAAAAATGTTATTTCTTTACACAAATATCATCAGCCCTTCATCCAAAATGATGGTGGACTCATACAACTATGACTATTCAGTGGAAAACATGAAATAATTAAGTGGTACAATGACAATTGCAGATTCTGTAACCAACTATAAATATTGAAAACAAACAATCTTCAGAACTTCTGTAGTCACTAATACATAATGTTTTGGACAGTAGACTCATTTCAGGGAAACAACAGTAATTTTCGGACATGAGTGATGACAATTTACACCGTATAAAAATGGGATTTCTTCCAGACAAAAATATTTTCAGTTCTTAACTGAGCTGTACTTGTACAATTAAAGCTGTCTGTCAGTGAAAAAATAAAAAATCGGGTAGAGATCTGATGTCTATGTTTATAAGGTAAAAGGTACCTGATAATGGTAATTTTGAGTAGCTGTATTAGGGAATTCTACAAGGAAACCAAAACAGCCAGCTAGTAGTTGTAGATGACATGTATTTAATAAGGTGGTAGAGGTAATATTAGATGATGAACTATCTTCTTTCTCTTCATTATCTCTTCTAGTGGATAATAATTCTACTATCTGATTCAACGCATACAGTCTTTGCTGAAAAATAATAGAATAGTTTTGGGTGAGTGTTTTTAAGTGTAGATATTCCGAAACATTAGACAGCAGACTGAGCTGTTAAAAGCTCTGCATATATTATTCAGTCATTGAAGAACTGAATGTTGAACAAAAAGTAATATTATAATATTGTATGCAAATCTGTTAATGGAATTAAAAAGTGAACCATAGAATCATTTCTTCAGCTTTATTTTGCACTATATTCAAACAAATCAACAGCTCTTAATAACAGACTTTTATACAAACACGGTGACAGACGACGAACTCCTGGTCACTCTCACTGTTCTGTTGAAGAAGGCCAAAACATTTGGGACTAAAACCTTTTACTTTCTACATACAGTTCTGTTGCATCGGTTTGGGGAAATCTTTGCAGGGTACAAACATGTTTAAAGTGATAAACATGTATCAGTAGCCCATGTTTCCAAATGTTTAAGATATTAATGATATACATGATCCTTACCTCAGCTCTATTTTGTTGAATATCTAAACATGTACTGATATCCTCTACTGTACAGTTTGTAATAGAGTCTGATAAACTAGTAGTAGGCTGATGGTCACCACAAACAAAGCGAGCTATTTCCAGCTGTAACTGTGTATAATGCTGAGTAGTGGAATAAGACATCTGAGGTTCAACATGAGATAATCCCATATCTTCAATTCTATCTCGTCTCCACCTCAATCTACGTAAAGTTTCCTTTACTTTCTGAAGAGTTCCTATATTAGCTGATAAAAATATAAATAGAATTAGTTATTTTGATGTTAGACTACGAAAGATTCAAAACAATAGATAGATATTGTGGATATTCCAGAATCCTGTCCATCAATTAAAACACAATTTGATGAAAATAACTGACCAAGTTAAAAGCTTGAAAAATATAACTTTAATAAGTTGATGATAGAACCTCTGAACCCAGGTAAGCAAACCTAGAAATCGGTTGAAACAACTGAAGTAAATAAAAATACCTGATTCATGATGGTTGGTCATGGTTGGTGTAGCAGTACCCTCTCTATCTCTGACTCTTCCTTCACTCACCTGCAAACATTACCAAGCCAAAAATTATACAATTGTTAATATTGGATAAATACCAGGATATTTCAATTCTTACCCCAAAATTCAAAGCAAAAATTAAACTTGGATAAGACTATTTCTAAAGAGTTCTTTCAATGATGAAATAGAGGCATGGGATAATTGAACTGACTGGTTTTGATGTAGTAGGTTGCATCTATTGTAAAATTGAAACTAACCTGTAGTACAGACTGTGATATATCAGGTAAACTTCCTCTTCTATTTAATCTACCCTCATCTCCTACAAATCAAAATAACATGTCACTGAACAAAAATATTACATTATGAGGGCTAGAAACGTAAGATACAATGATTTTGAGAAATATGATGATGATATGAAGAATGATTATCTTTATTTACATTATAGATCTAAAGTCATCTGCAGAAATATCATACTGTCTCTTAAAGTAGAAAATCAACATATACCCATCTGAGTTACAGTCTAAGATAAATAAGACAGACATGAACTGAGTGTAAAAGACATTCAGGATGACAGTGAGTGTGTTTTAAGAGAGAATAAGGTCTGTATGAGGCAATACTAAACTATATACCAGTATACCAGGTGTACCTGTATTATCAATATGTTGTACTGTGGATTGTGTTTTACCAGGTGATAGTGGTACCTCATCAGATACAGATAATAATGGTGACTTTATACCAACTAGTAAAAATATACATCTCTTTATAGTAGATTTACACATCTCTTCATATGATATCTTAGGTAATATTTCTCTCCTTCTATTTTCATTGATGTCATCTTCATCTAAAAACATCACATCATAATAACAACACATAATAACATAAAGTATGAACACTAAGCTTATCATATCTAGACCCCTGTTCCACAGAAAATATAACAATCAATTTTCATCTTTTTCATGAATTAAACACCTAAATTTTCACATTTAACAGAAATTTGATACCTGGAAATTGATCTCAAGTTTCTGTTCAGCTGTTTGTATAATTTTTCAGTCTTAACTGCCAACATCTAATTTTGAAAAGTGCTGTAGACAGCAGAGTTGACTTGACTTCATTAATTCAAAAAGCAAATATATTTATTCCTGCTATGTAGCAGACTTCATACCACCATGGAGATGTTATTTTCATAAGTTCTTGAAGCTTTTACCAAATTCCTTTACACACTGTAATGAAAGAATTTTAAACAAAACCTACCATCTGAGACTACTTCAGAATGGTAATCCTCAGCAAGATCTGTATCTGAGGGAGCACTGTCTTGTAACAGTTTCCATCGTCCAGTTAACTCCCCTTCCTGTTTGTCCTCCATTCCAACTCGGACTTTATTAGCATATAGTTTACTACGTAGTTCATATACTAGATGATAAACTTGAGTTAAACTTTTACATGGTCTACAAAATAACATCAATATATCATTATTAAGTATGTAACTATCTGACAGGGGTGCTATAGCATGATAGCTACAACAGCAAATAATGTAATTCAGAGGCCAGACATAGCATCAACAAGTTTCAGATTATCCTTCATGAGGATCAGATGCTTGCACCAGGGGGCTTATTTAAAGTCAACTTTATTTGACAACTTTTTCACTTACCAAAAAATGAAAAAAGGAGGAATAAAACAATATACATATTGAAGCACATAAATGCAGAGAAAGAACGAATAAAGTAAGAAAAAGAAAGAGACAACTACAAGGATAACAACTTCAGTTTATGCAGGATTACATAAGAGACTTATGAATTAAGATAAGTGGGAGTATACAGATTATTAAAAACCAACATACTGATATCCTTTATGTTCTAGAGCTGTTTTAATCAGGTTACAATGTTTTAATAATGTTGCTAAATAAAATCTAGATACTATATCTAATAGTGGTTCATCATCTTCATTATATTCACATGTATCAAGATCTGAAATATCAAATACAAAATATTATTCATAAAAAGTCGCATTTTACAAAAAATCTATTTTGTTGTAAGAATTTATTCCTAAATGTAAATTCAACAATTACACCATATTATTAAGCTAAGATTATTTGATGAACAAGACCCTTGGTCTTTAACTCACATAGTAAAGTCATTTGGAGTTTGTAATCTTTGAGATTTGTAACATAATCCTTGAGTGTGATTGGAATGGTAAGTCCACTTTTGATTGATATCTGCAATGGGAGTTTTGAATGAATTTTTCTATCCATAAAAGTTAAAATCAATGCCTTTAAATGAAAGGGGAAGTTACAAAATCTTGTATTCAAAATGTACACTTGCCTTGATATGTAGCATATTCTGTCATATTAGCCCAGATATATCTAGCTGATTGGGTGGGAAGCTTTAATACAATTTCTAATAAACAGGTTAAATTAGAATCAAGTTTTAATCCTAAACTTTCTAATGAGATATCTTCTATCTTCTCTTCATAATACAACCCTAGTTTACTGATAGTCTTCTCTACAAACAAAATAATTGGGAATTTGAGAAATATAATTTCATTGATAAACAAAAACTTCATAAATTAGCCTTCTGAAGTATATTTGTGGGGATGTAGATCAGGGTATATTGGTATATAACAATCCATCGTTTTTAGGTTCAATCCCTGTCCACTTTTCAAACTTCTTCTCAAAAACTAACCCACTTGTTCATCCAATCAGCATCTACTTAATTTCTTTTAAGTGAAAATTATTCCATTCCATGTGTATAACATGTAGAACCTAGAGTTGCTAAATTTTGACTGACAACAAATGTTAAGTTAAATAATATTAAGTAAAATTTATGTGATCTAACTATTACTTTTCAATGTAGGCGTTAAAAGATAGTACAAAAAGGTTTGGGGTATTTCAGCTAATATTAGTTATGTAAACTCTTCAGAAGGGATGCTGAATTATCAAAACAAGACGCATAGTGGTATCATGTGCTTCAGACAAGGTGAGCATGCTCTGTTTTGGCTGCCAGCAACATCTGTCATTGTAATAATTTCGGTTGGTTAAATCTATTAAACTTTAAAAAGAAAGCATACCAAGAGTGGGAAGAGATATTTCTAGGCCAGTACTAAATAGATGACTATCCAGCCATTGGTTACATTTAGTTTCACAGACAGTGACTGAAGGGCCTAGTAACATTCCACCAATAGCATTCCCTACTACTAGAGAACATGTTCTTTCTATTACCACTAACCATGTCCATGATTCTACCTTGTACTCTATAAAATATCATGTTAACATCTATTAGACTATAGAATTCAAAGGGATTGTAAAGAGGTTTTATAAAAATTGTATGTGTATAGGGGACACTGATATCATCAATTTGTACCAAATGGATATACCTGGCGTCATGACAATACAACAGAATCCCTCTGTTATCCAATAAATCCATAAAAATAAGTAATTATACACTTCATATTTTTTAAGGATTTTTCAATAATTATGTAATATTGTGGTCTTAAGATATTAAGTCAGTTAAAGTTATCTCCCTTGAGAGATAGAAGGTGGGCCTGAATAAAGATGAGGGTCATAATTTCATTCTTTGTTTTATCTTTGAATCCAACTCATCCTGGAAAACTCGGTCTGCAACAGAACAGTAATTAACTTAAATTGGCTTCTTCATAAATCATAATCAGCACCGACTTACCGACTGATATTTCCAGTTCCTTATTCTCTAGATCTATTATATGTGGTAAAGATTTGGAGAGCTGATCAAGGGCAGGTAATAAAGACAAAACATCAGGTAATATGGCCACAGTTAAATTAGGTGGTAATATTAATAGAGAATGTAGAACATGAGATAACATTCCACCAACTGGACTATCTAATAATATATCTGAAAAATAATCATATATTCAAAATTATGCAATGTACGATTTCAGTTTGAAACTATTTTAACTTGTATTTAATAATCAAGTTCAACAAAGTAGATCTTGAGTCCAGACTCTGACAGAAGTTCAGCAAGACAGTGGACAGCTATTGGAATATAACTAAAATTAAGATTAAATAGAAGTTATTCTTTTCAATTTCAGAAATTAAAAATCATGCAGAAACCAAACACAACTATTGACTTACTTTCTAACTGTTGTAGAAGAGTAGGTGTAGATTTTAAAACTGATGTAGCTAACTGAATTAACTCTTTACACACCGGTAGTAGAAGAGATAGGTGATTTATCAGGGTAGTGGCTGGAGTTACTTTATCAACATTCTAAATAGGAAAGTTTAAATTACAAGCCATTATCACAACCATATTTAAAACTTTTCATACATAAGTTTGTATGCAACATCATATCACTAACACAAAGGTCTTTAGATATCATAAACAGCTTTTGCAATAGTGATGGCATAAAAAGCTTAGATTTAATGGAATTGCAAAAATCACAGACTTCTGACGTCCAACAACATATTGGCGAAACATTGGTAGCAGCTAATGAACTTTTCACATGAGGAAGGATATTAATCAAAAGTGAGTAAGTATTTCATAATAAAAGTGGTATCAGGTGTCTAGAAGATTAAGCATACCCTTCCCTTCAATACTTACTATGTTACAATAGTTGTTATTACTATGACAGTAAGCTAGTAGGTGTTTCTGTAGGGATGAGAGTAGTAAACCAAGATTCATTGGAGGAGCTGAGTTGGTTAATAATAAACTTTTATCTTTATCACTGTTCTTCTCCATTTCATTCAATATCTTCTCCTATAATATCAAATATAACCAGGACAGGTTTATCAATTCCAAATCTAAAGTCTCTATCACAATATTTAGAAGTTATGGTTATGATGTCCATAAAAACAATAAACAAGGGCTGTTGCTGGTTCCAAGATGAAAGAATCACCCCACATGACCTTTAAATTGCAACAGCTCAAAATAAGCATGAGCTGAACAACCTGCAGTCTTAAGCGACTTATTTCGTGGTGTGTCATTATAAGATAATTGACTGAAAGAAAAGTTCAAAAGATATCCAAAATCTCCTCTTTCAGTAAAAAATAATGTTGTCATTATCGTATCATTGGTGTATCAAATCACAACATAAAGAATTGTTACAGCCACAGTGGACATTTAAAAATAACGAGAAATCAGAGATATGAACTTACTGTATGAGATGCTAGATTGTGTAGAATAGTTTTCATGAGGACTTCAGCTAATTGTAGTTCACGTGTTGGTTCTGTTGGAATTGTTTGTTGACTAGTAACTAGTAAACAACTAGTAAAACCTAACACAGTTGATATTTGTTGGTTATCTTGTAAACTTGTTAATATTATTGATACTTGCATTCTCTATAACAGATATATTCTAATGGAATGAAATCCATAGAGTTTTACATCCTACTTTCTGCACCATGTGGGCTAATGAAGATGGGCAACGTCATGCAGGGTGCAATGAGGGAAATTTTGCCAGGACAGTGGCATTAAGATATATTCTAATACAATATGATTGAATTATAGGAATATAAATAAAATCAGAAAGAAATGAAATGAATGGAGTTTTACATCCTACTTTAATAAAATCAGTGAAACTAAGTGAAATTTAGTAGTAGACAGAATATTAGATATATAAGACACCTTCACTAATATACTACACCTGATAAAGATACCTGTGTGTGAAGTGAAATGTTTTAAAATTTAAGGCAAGGAGTAGTATATCCATTTATTGATGTTCTTTATTTTATCATAAGTAAGACATTCTGAACTCAGTTTCAACATGTGATATTGTTCTCTAATTAACTCACCAATAGAATTATTCACATGAAACAGACATATAAAAGTGTTTCAGGCCTTATTTCTGAAAACTTGAATGAAGTGTTCCAGCCATTTGATTGGTCAATCATTAAAACCAATTCTCAATTTCATTTTATCATCTAATCAGATTTCTGTGTTTCTTAAAATCTGTATTTTATCAATGGTTAAGTTTTCAGGAATAAAACCCCAGTAGGTTAAAATATTGATATTACCTGTCCTGTAGTAAGTATATCCCAGCCAGTTCCCTGGGGGAGTAATGAATGTAATAACTCCATCCTCTCTTTCAATGGTGGTAATAACAGAGAGGCTCCTATTGATAATGTTTCAGAAACAGCCTGAAAAATTCAAGGTAAATTCAAATTATTTTAGCAAATAAATTTGCCCCCCTTGACATGAAATGCCATGCACAGTGAGGCAACAAACTAATTAGCTATATTTAATCACATACAAATATAAATCAGATGAACAGGCTTTCGCCTTCTCCATGTGATATTTTCTTTACGTAAAACTTCCTTTTTTAGGGACATGTCACTGATGATGTCACACAAAAAGTCTCTGTTTGGCAATTCCCCAAAATAACTATTGCACCAATTTCCAAAAAAAAATGCCAGGGAAAAAAGGAGGTAGGAAAATTGACTAAGCCATGGCAGCTCCTACCACTTGATAAAGCAGAACTCTAGGAATTACCTTAGGAAGAAAACACAGGCACTTACCTCTTGTATAGCATCAGTAGTTTTAGTATCAATAAGTTTAAATAATAAACTACGTAATAACTTAGTTTGGGATCCAAGTAGTTCACCACCCAGACCCCCAGCTAGTGCCAGAGATAGATGAGATGTTAATATCTTAAAACATAGTAACACAAACTTCTGATGTTCTCTGAAATATAACAAATATAAACAGATAACAGTACATCAGGGCATTGTTCTACACAAAATCTTATGATCAATTTTGTGGTAAGTATGGTATTTCTAAATATTGAATTCTACACTTACAGCAAATTCTTATTGTAAGTTTTCTGTGGAACGCGGCCATAAAGACGGCCTTATGGAATTAATCCCAATGTTAGTTGATGTCTGCTGTTTCTATATGTTGACAATAGTACAACCAAAAATTACCCACAATATGATAAGTTATGATATGAGACGAAATTTGCCCAAACAACCTTCGGTCATAAACAATAAAACACTAAGCAAACTAGAAAAGGTAAAAATAACTAAACTTACTGATCAGAAAGAAAAGGTGCTGGTGTATCAGAGTTGTTAAATCCTGTACAATATCTCTCTAAAAACTTCTGCAGGTATTTAAAAGTGGATTCCTGCAGATCAACACAAAATGGACGATGCCATGCCACAATGGTCCTAAAAAATTGTAAATTTACTTTTAACCAAGAGAGTAAATTCCATTTATTGGAGATCCAATGTGAACAGAAAGAAAATAGTGATGGCCATCGTAATACGCCCACAATTGTAATGGCAGCCAAGTCGTTTGGGAGGTTGACAAGAGTTATCAGTAAATGAAACATTCCGCCTGAGGCAAAGGCGACAACATTATATGCCCACAATTTTAAAATTTGTGGAACCTGAAGGTTAAAAAATAGGTCATATTGACCTCAGCAGCTTCCCCTAACCATCCAGTCTATGCCTTATATCTAATAATTACTAAGTTATCTTCAGGAGGTGACGTCCAAGCTACACTATGAGAGGTACCAGCTGATCCCCCCTTTAACTCAGGCCCAACCACCCAGTCTATGCCTTATATCTAATAATAACTAACCTATCTAGAGGGAGTGACGTCCAAGCTACACTATGAGAAGTACCAGCTGATATCTGTTGAATAGAAACACCTTCTAAACCAAACACTTTCCGTGGTCTTGTAAGTGGACTTTGTGAATGACCTTGTCCACATTGACCCATTGCATTATTACCCCATGCATAGATTCTATTGTCTGGAATGAAGAGTCAAAACTTGATAATAAGTTATGCAAAATACTAGTTATGCTCTTCTTAGAAATGAAGTTATATTCTAAATTGAGCATGGATTTTTTCATCCTACTCTTCTGCACCTAATTGGGCTAACGAAGACTCCATGCAGTGTGCAAAGAGGGAAATTTTGCTAGGACAGTGGCATTAGCCTACTCTTTTTCGATATCCAACTGTCGTGGGATCTTTAATGTACACAGCCTGTAGCACACAGGACCTCAGTTTATTGTCCATTATATGAATAACGACCAACATAGTTTCATCAACAGACAAGATGAGAGTCTTTAATTTAAGCTTTTGCAGAGAAAAAGATCCCAGAGCTCCTGGTGAGGAGTAACTAAAAGAAGTTTACCATGTGATAGTGCTATACAGTGACTGTCTCCCATGGCTATATCTACAATATGGACATTATGTAGATCTTTTACTAGTTGAGGTGTCAGAGCAGTAAATTCAGATAAACCACACCCTAGCCCTGATCCACTACCCCACACATATACCTACAACACAAATTAATACATTAACAAAGGATTGTATAAATATAGGTCTTTCCAAGCCCTACCCACAAGTCATTCTTCTCATATAATCGTTCTGCCACTGATATACTGGCACTTTTTAACAGAGAATTTTCACTTTTGTTATGGCACTTTCCAGAAAGAATAATTCAAGGATCATTTTCAAAGTAACTGAACTGAATATACTGTAATCAGAAACATGAGTTATCAGTTGACAATTCCTAAGACTATCATACCTAACCAATGCCCAGCAATTTTGTACTATACAGGGAGGGAAATTTCTGTCTTTTCTGTAATTTCCCAGTAGTTAAAAGAACCATCAGTCATAAACCCTCAAGAAGCAGCTAAACATAAAATATGACCAACCTGTCCAGTAGAAGTTAAAGCTAGAGATGTCTGACTACCACATGAAACTTTACGAATACACATTCCATTAAATGCCTCAATAACTTTAGGTTTATATTGTCTATTCATATCACCATGACCAAGTTTTCCTGCAATTATATTTACATATATCACAATACTTTTAAAAACAAAAATCTCTCTTTGAAGGGGTTAACAACTTCTGATCTGTGTAGGTTAGAACACCTTTTGTGGCAGTAGCATAGTGCAGTCATAGAGTTTGATTGTTGTCTACTAGGAGAAAAAGATGAAACATTCTGATGCCACAACCACTGCTTCCACTGACATATTTCAACCAGCATCTCTGTTGAATACATTCATTGTCATTATACTTACCATTATCTCCACTTCCAAAAGACCAGACAGTTTTACCATCCTGTGATACAGCTATAGTATTAGAGTTACCACAGGCTACCTGACCTACATTACTTATATCTTTTACTAACTTGGGTAGACCACGACTTGTACTGTCTCCATGACCTATATAATCAAAATATTGAAGCTGTTATTGGTAATAAAAGTTTATTTAAATGTTTAAAGCAGTTTAAAAATTGAATATTGAAGGTAGTCTACACTTCCACATTTAATTCCTTCAGAAAAGTGTTAAAGGAAAATTTCGAATTACATTTCAACACCTGACTGAAACCATTAAAGATTGGCAACACCATGCAGTGTGCAATGGAAGAATTTGTACCAGGACATCGGCATCAGTCTGCGAACTGATGAAGAATCTGTAACGTGCACAGTCTGTAGATCACAGTTTATTATCCCATCCAAGCAAAATAGAAACTTTACTAACAGGAAGAACCAAGCTTGAAAAATCCAGGTATTTAGTTAATAATTGAGAAAAAGGTCGGACATAAAGATTTGCATACCTAAACGTCCATAATCGCCTTCTCCCCAAGTATAGAGTTCACCATCTTCAGTCACCACAGCCGAATGTCGGTACCCGGCTGACACACTTTTCACTATTTTACCCAATAACGCTTGAACTAACTTCGGTGTTTTCTGAGTTGTGTTATTACCATGTCCTAATCTTCCATAGTCACCTAGAATTAAACATACAGGGGACATCAATCAAAAATATACCTGTTGGTTCATATTACTGGTGTTGGAATTCAGGATATATGAAATACTATAGTACTAAGGTGTTTTGACAAAATCAATAAGGACTAAAAATAAATGTTGGATTGTACAGATGTAGAAATTCACAGAATTTATTGTATACTGGTATGCAGTAAATTGCCAACCACAGTTGATGTTTTGAATATATCCTAGCACATAAGCACATCTAAGAAGCACAATTTCTTGAATTGGTAAAAATCCAGCTATAACAGCTATAAGAACCCTAGCTCATAACATCTGAAATATCAGAGTTCCAAAAAGATATAGCTTAAAAATAGAATTCATTTTCATCAATAGCACCAAAACTTATACTCAAATAATAAACAAAGATATTCTAACCATCTACTTCTAACTTACCATCTCCCCATGTGAAGACTTCCCCCCTATGAGTCAAAGCAAGAGTATGACCATCAGAACCTTTAGATGATGAGATCTTCTTGATGGTTCTCTCAGGTTCAAAATGTATTGTTTTAGGTACAGCCTGGTTATTAGAGTCTCCTAGTCCCAATCGTCCATAACTTCCTTTACCACAAGCACTGACTGAACCATCTCTCATCAATATAAAGGTACAGAACTGTCCTGCTTCAATCTATAAATGGGACAAATTAAAATTTAATTTAAATACATATAACTTCATTCGATTGGGCTGAACATTCATCCTTTATCATGCCCAGTTAGAGTGAAACTATTCAAGACACAGTCACAGTAATAAAACAGCAATCTACACAAATTCCACATATACTTTTCTATTCTGCCCAAAAAATATAATGTATGAGTTTACACAATCTGACATATACTATTCCTGATCAGACCATATAGCCAAATAAAGCTAAAAATCCCTAAGCTGTAGTTAGAAATGACAGTCAAATCAATAACCTATGGCTCTAGTCAGATTTTTCTGATAGAAAAACTCAAAAAGATGGTGTACCTGTCAGATAAAACTGACATACATAACCAGCCTTTACTTCATGCTTAAAATATGATTAAAAATAATCTTAACCTACCTGTTGACAATCTGTAAAAGAGGAAGCTAATTTGGGAGTATGTATTTTCTCCTGACTGCCCTCTGCTAGCTGATGACTACTGTTACTTCCCCATACAAATACATCACAAGTTGTTGAGTTGACAGGTGGCACACTGGACATTCCCAGATCTAAATTACTATTCTTATTCTCATCAGGACCAGCACAACTATTTACATATCTATCAGCTAAACGTTCCAACTGAAAATTCATATCATATGAAATATTGTCACATACTTTGATTGGCCATGGAAAAGGATCTTGATGAATGAGATCCAAGAAAACAAAAAGTTCTTCCATAAATTTAAATAAAATCTATCTTATACTTTATTGAGCTTATGAAAAAAATGGAGCTTTTTGTTACATCTTTCAGATACTTCTGAGCCTTATGTGCCTGTAGAAAAAATGCAATAACTTTTGGCACACACAAACACCCTGTCACTTCCTTTCAGTAACCTGGATATTATTACAAATTTTACCAATAAATAAAAACAGCAAACTTTATACAATCACTTTTGAGCATTGTTATGTTGCAATGAGTTTTATTGGTCAAGCACCAAAATCTTAGGAAATTTAGTGGGGAAATTTAGCATGTTAAAAGTATACTTTACCATATGTAATAAATACAGGGAAGCTTTATATAGACTACACATTCCTGCCTTATCAGGTTGGGGTGGAAGAAATCCATTGGTACAATCAACCGAGCCCTGAAAATAATATCATTAAACGTGAAAGAGGAAGTTAAATTGTAAGTGTCTTTTTACATATTTCTATAGCAATTTTTAAGAGTGTGAAATTCAACTTGTGTATGAAAATATCTGGCACATAATTTTTTCAAGAAATGAAAGAACCACAGGTTTCTAGACAAGAAATCCGAACAGGTGTAAATTAATAGAAATTTGTGGTCTGAACGATCAATACCATGGGTAGAACACCTCATTTTTTAATTTCTATCAATGTTATGTAATAAATATAAAAAAATAGAAAGCCAATACATACAGAAGAACTGAGCATTTGTTGTATAATTTCATTATAAAAACTGTATCTTATCATTCCTTGTTTCTTTTCACTGCCTTTCTTTTCTTCAGCCTGGCTCACAGCTGATACCTACAATATAATCATAAAATACTATCACTTGAGTAACTTTATTGAATTAATATAATATGCACTGGTTCAGTTATGTACTAGGGACATGTCTTAAAGCTTTTTTGCACTGCTTTAGAAATCCCAATCCCCAGCCTTTGTAACAAGTCTCAAGGAGATTGATTATGACCTTCTTCTGAGAGTAACTAAAAGCCAAGAAGTAAAGATCAAATAATATAATATACTGGTAAATAAGAACTGCTTCTATTCTGTCAAACACCATGTCAATATATAATAGACCTTCTACAGAGGAAATGAAATTATATTTCATAGGTCATTGAAAATTGTCTGATTCACAAAAAAATACATCAACAGCCCTATTCTAATTCAAACAAAGTTCTTTAATTTCTTACCTCCATGGCTAAATCAATCCATTCCAATAAGTAACATAATGAACCACGATGACAAGCTATTGCTAACATCAATTCTACAGCCAGTTGTTGTCCTTTCAAATCAGCACCAGAGTCTGGCATAGCTGTTAACTTTAAAAACTTGGTTACTTCATTTAAGGTCTCGATTCCAAGGGAGGAAAGCTTTGTTTCATTAGCCAGTGATAGAGTGGGTAGAGAAGAGATGACCTGAATAGCTGTTTGAAAAATATTATTAGTGAACGACAAACGCCCAACTTCATTTGCCAACTGCCAGTTTTGCTGCAGGAGACCAAATAACATACTTAAACCAGTTTTGACACCAATTTCAATCAAGGCATTATTTCCAGATGCTGCATCCTTTGCAGACGATTTAGTTTCTTTCTCTTCATTTCCAATAAGAGTTGTTGAGTTCTCTGTAGCAGATCCTGCTTTCTCATGATATTTAGAAGAGATACTGTGATAGATTCTTTGTAAAACAACCAGACGTTTTCGAAGAGATTGACAATATGGCGTATTACTACAGGCTGTGGCTGCTAGAAACAACTGATTTGACAACAAAGAATTCAGTAAATGTTCTTTTTCCTCAGAAGAATGGCAATCTTTTTCAAAATCTGGCAACACTGGTCCTCTGAGATGAATGGCCTGTTGAGTTGCAGGAACCAATTCTTTGTTGATCAGAAGACGTTCATACAACTGATTTAATGTTTCCTGTTCTAGGATTGATTCACAATCTTCAGCCACCCAACTAGAGTTAAAATGTTCAGCACATTTCAATTTTACTTGGGGCATGGCAGCCATTCTTAGTTTCCTATCCTAAACAGTCAGACTTTAAATTTACAGACTACCATTTTCTTCATTATTGCCATACTTCTACAAAATATCAAAATAATTATCACAAAAAGCAAAACCCGGTTGATGTACTGTAGACCTAAGTAGCCAACAGTGGGGGTAGCCTACATTAGATTTCAAAAGTTGGATATTTCATAAACCTTACACTTAAATAATACTGAGAAACTGAGAGAAAATAAACTCACTGCAGTCTGACAGGGGCAATATTCCTGCAGTTGGCCTATTCAACTTTGGAATTTGTAAGACAGTCCTAATTCATTTCTTATTTTCATTGTTACTTCTTTCTCTTTTGACTTTGTAAGTTTAATGATATAGCCTAGAGTTGTTTACTATTGTAAACCTTCAGTTGCCAACCCTCTCTTCATTATCTCATGGAAAAGTGCCAATCAGAATGATATTTGACAAGAGAAGAAAAGTCATATCGGCATAGTAGAGTCACTGCAGAACAAGAAATACGGTGTTCAAAGAAGGAATTTACTAGATTATTGGACTGGAAATAACGTTCTACCTGCAACTTAAAAGTTGAGACGTTTCAAGAGTGGCATAGCTTTAATCTATCTTAGTGGGTAGGGATTTAAACTATTATACCGATTCCACAAGTCTTTGTGGACAAAATATACAAATTTCCAAATAAAAATTCTGTCTGCTGTTTACATTTAGTGCGCAAACTCAGCAGGAAGTTATTTAAAAATCTTGAAAGAATATTCCGACACGAAAGAATAGAAAACATGATTAATATGATCATTCTGATATTACGCTAAAATTTATGGGTTTAGAACTTGAGAAATGTCAGCAATGATACCGAAGTCAAGGTTTGAGTATTTTCAATGGCATAATACCTTTGAAAAGTCTTTCATAAATCTTTGAATCTGATAAATAAGATCGAAATGATCTCAAATCAACTAAAGAAATACTCATGAAAGCAAATATTAAAGCTGTCATGAAAGGTCAAAAAAAATTGTTTTTTATAATGAAAACTCGTGAAATAATTTTCTAAAAGTGACATAATTGGAATGGAGTAAGAGCCAGGAAATCCAGAAATAGTAAACTTATTTGATAATAATTACTGTTTTATTTGTTATTTATAGCTTATAGGTTTAAATGTGCTTTCCCCACTGACCCAATATCTTAAAGCTAGACTGAAGCGTTTCAAAAAAAAAAAAATCTCCACAAATTGATTATCGAATTTTTGATTTTTTTTTTTTTTAATGTAAATTGATTTTGGAATTAAGTAAATCAAATATACTTCATTTTCAGGTTATTTACCAAATATCCAAGAACTTACCTGCAAAATTATATTGGACTCTATAGCAATCAGTTATCAAAACTGCCAACTTTAACTCTGTACACCAAAGATCCTTGTCCACTTTGTGATGAGGCGAAAGAAAAGTTGAAACCATTTGAACATAGAGTAAGTTGTTATTATCCTACATTTAATTTGGAATAGAAAACTTGACTTATGAATTATTCCGTTAAAAAACTGAAGGCCCTATAGCCTATGCTTTTTTAGAATTTTAATTCTCATTTTCATAATAGGCCTTCTGGCAAGGGGGAAAACTTTTGAATGTTTTTAAATGTCTGTGAAATTTTCTAATATCCATTTCATTTGGTTCATCCTGATCTTTTTATATCTGATATGTTTGTAACTGAAGGTAATGACCCACCTCAGTCCACAACCTCTCCCACTCAGAGACATATCCATGCTACAACACTGATGTCAAATCCCAACTTTTGCCATATTTGTTTCAGTATATCTTTGAGCAAGTTGATATTACAGCGGAAGGAAATGAAACATTCCATAAACTTTACAGATATGATATTCCAGTGTTTCATTTCAATGGAGAATTTCTGATGAAACATCGAGCCGATACTGATTTTATGGAAAAGGTGTTGAAGGATTATGAAAAAAAGATATCTAACAAATCTTGAATATTGGTTTGGGTGGCTTTAAGATAAAATCATATTAGCTGCTATAGATATATTTGTACCTTGAAAAATTATAGAAATTTCTATGACAAAAGCAGCTACAATGCTGGTCAAGGAAAAAGTCTTCAAATTTTTGTTCATGGAACAAATGGGTGTTAAATTTTTGCCAAAAGAAAATGTGTATTTTTTCTATAATGGTGTGTTCCATTACCCAATATCCTGAAGGTGTATAAACCAGATAAAACAATGAGTGAAATTCCAGAGACAATAAACTTTAATACATTTACAGTTTTAATAGCACTTATAATGATGATAAATCAGAACAATAAATAAATACAAAAATATCACAGTTTAAAGATGGTGAATCTGACTTATTATTTACTTCAATAATAATTTTTATCTTTAATCAAGTTGAAGCTAGCACAACTTATATTTTACCAATACTATCGCACATTGGTAACATTAAATAAATTGTCCTATAACCAATTGGGTAGCACTAAATAGATCATTTCAAGATGAGATACAGGTGTCCAACCTTTTGTTTTATCAGATATCTGTATCACTTTTTGAAATGAAAATCAAATGTGTGGCTCATTTACAATAACATGAAAATGCATCAGTACATGTAACAACAATCTAAATTATCTGGGTGGAAAAATTTCAATAATTTCTTACCAATTTAGACTGCTGACAAGATCCAATAGAGCAATTGTAGACAAACAGGGAGTAAACTAATGTAAATTATTGAAGAAAACTAAAATTGATCTCTATCAGCTGCTAAAACAAACATTTACATGACTGTATCCTTTTAGCACTTGTATTGGTGATTTCCTTATTATTTGAAAATTTCAACAACAATCACCATTAATAAAAATTTTTAATCTTTACCAAACTCACCAATTGTGCCTCTGACTTTATCAACAGGCTTGGAAGATGTCAGACTGAATAATACATGCCACCATTAAACAGAAGCTCTGTCACATGAGAACTTTGAAATAAATACCATTTGACAATACATGTATTTTTTTTTTAGTTATTCAAAAACATTTTTACAAATTTTCTTGTTTGTTAAATCCAAACACTTCAATTTTTTTTTATTTCCTTAAATTTTGTAATTTTTATGATTTATACTTTAAGACAAAAAAAATAAAAAATAAATTCAAATTAATTCTTAAACTGCATATTGAAAAATTTAGGCATAAATTAATTATTATAAACATACACATTACAAATAAAAGTAATTGAACATGCATATATATATATATTCCAGATAGTTTGTAAATACACAGCATCATTCAATATTTCACAGAACTTCTCTAATCTTTTCTAGTCTTTGCACATATTTTAAAGATTCCATGTTCGTCCCTTTTCAAAAAAATAATCTTATATTTTATCACACATAATAATATCATAAAATACTTGTTTTTCTATCCTTCCTGTATATAAATTAAAAAAATTTGAGACGTCATGTCTTAGATTTCTTGGTTGATGAAAACATCTCAATTCACTTTAATATCAGATTCATATTAAGAGTCAAAAAATTATTACCAGAAAAAAGAGATTTGCTTGAGATATACTTCAAAAAATAAAATTAGCTTGGTTAATATCTGTCCCATTCATCTTCAGACATAGGTTTCTCTGGCCGCTTTCAACAGATCTTCAGATAAACAACTTGTCATTACCACATTACTACTGGTTTGAGAGGATTCATTTTCAGTCCAAGTATCAGTTGAGTGGGGTGGGGAAAAATTGGCATCCAGAGGATTATTAGAGGGTGGGGTAAAGGCTTCAAGATTAGCTGAATATCTTAAAATAGGGCGTAACATAGCCTGATTGAAAGAATGGGGTGGGGAATAATGAGAGGGGGTGGAGGTACAGGGTGATATTAAATGCTGCTGTGTCGGTGATCTGTAGGACTGATTCTTATCCAAATTTATTTTTGGTTCTATAATGGTCTTTCCTTTAGTGGGCGAGAGATATCGTATTTTAATGATCTGATTCTGATTCTGCCATTCACGACAAACTTTATAATGATGTCTCATAGCCACCTGAAATTACACAATATACCAGGATTATATTTCCCACTTTACTCAGCTGGATGGGGAAATTAAATTTATTCCCTCGGTACATTTGATAATGCCAGACATTTCTGTTTAATTGAATTTCAAAACTCTTCAAATATCTGAATGTCAAAGATGATGTGTTAAGTGTTAAATTGAGGTATAACTCTAGTATATGTGTATACGTAATTTTTCATGGCACGAACATGGCATATGTGGCACTATTTATAGCAGATAGGGTCAGATAAATATCTAAAAAAAAATTTTCATACCTTTTGAATCTGGCCTTGTCTTGCCCAAATGTCCATATTTTTTTATCAGTATCAACTGACAATATACTGATGAAGGGTAACACACATAAACCCCCCACCCATCCCCCTTAAAGCAGCCATGCAGGAATATCAGTTACAGACTCAAGAAGACAAATATGTTTAGAGACAGAGATACAAGCTTATAATATAAAAAGACTTACACAACACCAGATGGTATATATGACTAATAAACAACAAGTTAGCATGGCTAGACCTGGAACCTCCCACCTTCCATCCCACTGAGCATAATGTTGTACCCCCATCATACACAGGAAGGCACTAATACCAGTAAGTGGTGTTAAGATTAGAAAACAAACAACGTCACACATCATATTTCTTCTGTCTGCTGTTACTGATGGGTGACGCAAGAACTGAAATTTCAGAAATATTAAAGTATTAGTAGTAGCAGTGGAATAGCTCACTTGTTAGTAAGATGGAGTTATCAGCTATACAATAAAGTGTCATGTTGTACCATCTTCAAGATGAGAAATATTGTAATGCCACAGCCAGTGATTCCTAGAGTAAGCCCTACGACAACTTTCATCTCCATCACCCAAACTGTAGTAAGGGTATACATTCTGCAGTCACTAAACCTTTGACATAGATGTTATAATGATCACATTGCAAGGATCAAGGATGAAAGATGAAAATATAACCTATCTAACTTGTATTCCACAAAACACTGTCTGTCACAAAAGAAAAAATAATGATCCCTGGATGGCGAGTTTTTCCCTGATAGTCAGTTTATGTCATAATTGGTGCATGATTTGTATTCCTTGTCTTATAGTAAAATTCACTTTAACAATAATATCTTTATTACATAACGGTCAAAAAAATTAAGCCATTCATTTGACTGATGTGAGCACTAAATAGAGAAAATTTCAAGGTTGAAATACTTGTTTTCTAAAGTAAATACAGTTTTGATGTATCATCTGCCAAAGATTTTATCAAATTGAAAATTGAATTGGGTACTGTAAAATTATATAACAGATTTTCAATTCAAGAATGTTTCCAAATCCAAGGACAAAAAATTTCTCCCTGACAACAAAGTAATTGAAGAAACACTACTGGTATTACAATTCTTTGACTACACTTACAGCAGTTACTTTGCAAATCAAGTTCAGTTTCAAGTCCATCTCTTGATCATTGAAAAGATATTTAGTTTCAGTTCTTACTGCTCTACACCGTACTGGGTTATGAAGTAAAGTTTATGTCCTTTGTATCTTAGCTAATCATAGAGCTCAGGAAATAAAATTTGATTTAGATGCTACCATACTGGTACTTTAATCAGGGTTGTTTATTTATTTTTTTGTCAGTTGGACATTTTTCAACGACCTGTGAAATTTGTTCTCAATTTCCCCTTAAGAGAAGGTCTTTTAAGTCTTTAATAGGATTTACTGAAATCAACTCGACCTCGACTCGGCTAGGCAAAATATACTTTTATATTGCATCAATGTAAAGAAACTAAATAAATAAGAAGAAAATAGAAAATTTTACCTTGAGAATTACCTGCCAGAATGATCTAGACTGTCTCTCTACTTTAAACTGATACTGACAGATTTCACAGCGTGTGGTATTAGATGTACCCAGCCAACGTTCCAGGCACGTCAGATGTAATGCCCCTACAGAACCAGCACAATAACATGGTGCTACTAATTCTTCATTTCCATCACCTTCATGACAAATTCTACATATACCATTCTCACTGAAGTATACATGAAAATGAGAAACACAAATTCAGGGCTTTTTGCCAAACTTGTCTGGTTGGAACTCGAATTTTGAGTTCATCCCAATTGAATGAAAGTGGACTCATCTTATATACATAAAGTATTAATCAAGCCTTTTACAAAATTACATTTGAAGGAAAATTAAAAAAAAAAAAACAGACGAGGCAGGGTTTTAAATAGCAACTGACATTGATAGGGTACAATGTTATAAGTTCTGAGATCATAGAGAAAAGGAGTTGTCCCTATACTTGGCCAAGAGACAATTCAAAAAACTAGTCTAGTCTTGTACCTGAGGAAACTGAGGGAAAGTTGTGGATTTCCTGCTGCAGAACAACTGGAAGGGGTACTAGTCAATTGGTTCACAGCTCGTGGACTAGTTGGTAGAGATGCTATACTATTTGAGGACTTGCAAGAATATTTAGATTTATGATTTGTAGAACTACATGATGGTGTCACTGGTACTATCACTGGTGCATGAATTTTTTGGGCTTCAAGTTTAGTTTCTGATAATGATATAGCAGTTTTGAAACTTGGAGTTCTTAATGGCGAGTTTTTTAATTCTGTTTCTTCTTCTGAGCTATTAACATCTTCATATAAAATTGTAGTGGCGTCTACTGGGTATTGACTGGAATGCTGACCCTATGAGAGATTAGACAAATGATGGAATTTTACAATGATGGTTATACTAATGACCTTTGTTGGATTCTACTAAAGTAGGCCTACATGTATTTACAAAGCCATTCACTACGGCAAGAATTCAACTTTTTAGCTGTGTAGCCTTGACAAGAATCAAATTGCAAACCTTGGTAGAAGCACTGCAGTCTGCAGTTTAGGCCTAAACGTAACCGATCAAAACAATTAATCTTACAATATCATTTAATGAAGATAATGATTTAGACAATCTGTTGGCATCAAGCACTCTTTTTCTGTTAATTATCAAGCCATCATCATCTTCATCATCTAAATTTATTTCAACATAATCTTCTTCTCTTCTCTTACTTTGATTTGGGCACGTCGATGTTGAATCAGTCATGTCGATGTCTGTTTCTAAAACTTTCTGATCAGTTTGACATCCGTTTTCATAAACGTTATCTTTAGTTTTTGATTGTTGGAATAAATAATTCAGGTTTTTGCGCGCTGGAATGTCTCGACTAGTAAAAGAACTTTCAAATGCTGCATTATCACATCCTACAGGCTCATAATTGTGTTTTGTAGCCTGCATGCTTTCAAATGTACCGCTGAAACAACTTTTTCACTTCCTTAATATATCAACCGGAAGTTTACATCACGTGACGTCAGGAACTAAGGGGCGCACTTGGTTTATGAAATCGAGTGCCTCTTGAAGTCTCACTTCGTTTAAAATTCTTTTGATAAAATTCCTAACCTAACATTGTGCGAAAAAAGCAAGGAATTAGGTCTGTCTGACCCAGGCTTGCACTCATATTGGAATTTTATTTAATCCAGGATTTATGTAATACGGCAAAAAGTGCCTGGCTCCTTGCACCTACAGGATTAAATATTTTATCTGTGGATGAGTCTATATATAGGTGGGGATCAGAAATATGGTCACCAGAATTTTAGTCACAGTGAATTGGTCATGTACTGAGAATTGGTGAGTAGCCTAAATATGATCAAGAAGTAAATTAGTCACAGTCGACTAAATAATGAATAATTAACCCTAAAGTTGACATTTAATGAACATGAAATACTGCAGGCCTGAAATGTTTGGTCACGGTCGACTATAAACAAGGCTACATAGTTGACATATTTAATGAACATTAAATACCCTTGCATTGATAAATGTAATTATAATGGTTCAAAATGAATGGAATAGATTACATGGATCAATAAGTTATGAATTAATACTGAACTCTCTAATAGCAAAATATCAATTTCTAAAGCTATTATTTTTGCTGTAATGATCAGTTATGATGTAAAAATTAGCATTGTTCTGTTTATCTGCGTACGTTAAGCGTATGCAATTGTGTACGCCCACATGTAAATGCCATAGTGGCGCCAATGTCAGTCGGTCCGTCAACAAACTTTTTAGACACGATAGCGATTGCAGTTTGTCTCCTATCCGGATGAAATTTGATATGCGTTTGCCCTTTGTCCTCTAGCAACATACACAACATATAATCTAACAACCGGCGTATAAACAGTCGGATACTTGAAAGAACTAGAGCTGAGGTGCAATCGCTTTGCAGTTCGAGAAATGGTGTACAATCACCGCAGTCTGACAATATTTACAAGCACATATACCTGTTTGTGTATAGTCGTGTATTTGTCGCACAGTCGAAGAACTCGCGTACAATTGCCGTACAGGCTGAAAATTGACAGACAATTATATTGCTATATAGATGTTGTACAGTCGTGAAATTGTCGTACAGTCCGAGAACTGGCATACAGTCGTATAATGGTAGTATAGTCCGAGAACTTGTGTATAGTCATATACCGTAGTCATGTGCAATCGCCGCACAGTCTGACGACTGGTGTACAATCACATATAACTGTTGTACAGTCGTGTAATTATCGCACAGTCCGAGAACTGGCGTACAATACCTGTACAGTCGGAGATCTAATGTACAATAGCCGTACAGCAAGGGAACTATCATATTGTTATACAGTCGTGTACTTGTTGCTGTACAGTCGGAGAACTAGTGTACAATAGCCGTAGAGTCCGAAAACTGGCGTACAATCGCCGTACATTACGAGAACCGGTGAACAATCACCGTTCAGTCCAAGAATTGATGTACAGCTGTATAATCATAAAATAAAAAAAAAACACAACTGGATTTTTTATTTTATTAAGTAGGAAAAACAAATAAATAGAAAAAAAATTAATAAATATGGCACTCATGTAGCCTATTATAAAATCCCTTTTCAACAATAATATAAGTTCGACAATACCAGTAAACGGAAATGACATTTGGTTAATGTCCAAACAAACATAAAGCATTTTGAACTCGGCACAATCATTCAACCTGCCTAAAATTCCCATAACAGCCATTTAAGCTCGCGTTTGTATCAAAACCATTTATAGAAGCCATCAGTACATTAATATGTACTATATCAGTCCATACGGCGTCCCAGTTTGTGTAACTTCTTTGGTTCTGAAGTGCTATGGCGTTTATGAAGCGGAAACTAAAATAAAACAATAATATAAACGTAAGAGGATAGAAATGAAGATTTTTTTCTTACTTTCTGTGCCCGATTATTAGGCTTGTGAAGTATGGAGGCATATAGCGGCGTTCACTGTGCTTTGAGTATACATGTATTTATCATTTTAACCATTGAGGCATCTTCAACGTGCACAGCCTGCAGCACAAGAGCTCACGGTTCATTTTTTGCTTTTCAATTTCCAATCAGTGATATAAATATGATAAGCATTTTGTAAGAATAGGACGGATGATTTCGATAACCTTGGATACCATTTTGATTTCTCGGAATCGTGATTGAAAATGAAAATATCGGTTACAGCTTGGAAATATATTCTGAAGCGAAAGAAAAAAGGTATTTTCTCAGCTTCTAATGTACCGTACTAACGTTTTAAGTGTACAAAATATGAATTAATATTTTCAGTAGGTTACAATTTACGATTGCACTCCCGTTTTAAAGTAACCAGACTTACGTTTTTAAGTAGTGATTTACTAAGATGAGAAAACTCTGGTCTGTGGAATGGTTCCTGACACCAACAACTGTTGATCATCTTCTACAAAATTAATCACATTTTCTTCATGATTTGATACGGTTTGTACAAGAGGATGGTGAATGCGGTCCCAGAAGATGTACATGCACTGTGAATCGTCAGCCAACCATATTGGATCAAAATAGGAAAAAGGAAAAATGGTATTGAAGTTTACGTCCTGCTTTTTTGATGATAAGTTGCCAACGGTTTAACGTTTCGAAACCATTGGTTTACTTCTGCTTATCTATGCGACTTTCACAAATGGACCGTACGTAAATCATCCCAACTCTAAAACGTCTAAGCTTTGGAGAACTTTGGACCTGATCTTTGCGCACATATGAAGTAAGTCAAACCACCACTCCAATAACGCTCAACCTTTGTACATTTCTGGAGCGAAAGTAATCTATCATTACTCCTAAACGCCTTACTTTTATAGGTGTTGTACATCGAACTTTATCAAGAAGTTGCCGCCTGCCTCCACACACCTGCCAGATTAACGTCATTGGGTTTAAATCATCGTACGGATATCTACCAGCAAAAACCTCATACATCACCGTGCTGAAACCAGATTGACATGAAATTATATAAAAACAGAACAGAGATTTAATGACCATTTCAATTTTTCTTTTTTTTAACAGTGGATAAAAGCTAAGCCAGTATCCAGCTGAGCAATAGTAAAATACGCCATACATCATAGTGCTGAAAAGAGATTGACATTACATTATATAAAAAAGTGATACAAGGTCAAATAGTAAATAGAATTAGAAATGACATGAAATAAAATAGAGTTTTATGTCTTACTTTTTTGCACTTGTTGAAGTTAATGAGGACAGAAACAAATTAAGAATTCACAAAGTACTACGGCTGGGTAGGCCTATAGTATGGTATGCTATTTCACAAACAAATATAATTAGGAACATCTTATGAATTCTTTGTGCGGTTGCGATGGGAGTCGATGAAGCGGTTTTGGATAGAGAAGGAAAGGTTCCATGCCAGGGGTGGTTGATTTCAGAACCCACGATTTTCCCCTTCACGTTTATGATTACGACCCTGGTTCTTTGAAATGTATCCTAATGTATCATTCCCTTTTAAAAACTTTTTACGACTCTTCCATGAAGTCTAGTTGCTTTTCGTAACTGAAATACTAAAAGCTTGTGTTTCTGTTAACAGCTTGTTAAACATTGGATAAAAACCTTACCCGAATGCAAAAATGTCGGTTTCCTTGGAATATGCTGTTGTCGTGGTAACGAGTCTCGGTGGAACGACACTGACACAGGCCAGAACTTCCGGTGCTACGTAGGTTAACTGGTGAGGAGGAATGATTGCATAGTCCGACCTGAAAATATTGAGATTATAAACAAAAAGATACATGACACATAAAAATCACATTTTCAGTGTTATAATTTCAGGCATCTTTACAGGGTTTGGTCCAGCCTTTAAGACTAAGTTTAATATTGTATTATATTATTATTATTATTAATATTATTAATACTGAGTAAAATATTGATATTTATACTTTAATATGTGGTGGTATTCCACAGTAGACAGGTATTACATGTATATGAAATAGAGTTTTTATGTTTTGATTTTGTGCAGTGTGTACTCTGAACAAGATAGGAAACATGATGCGGAACTTGCCATGAGTTAGTATATCATTGGTTCGTTGCACAACGGAGTTGGCTTGCAACATTGCAAACTTATTTCAAAATGTTTTATGTTAATACCGGCATACTGAGGTACTTAGTTACTCGGTAACTTTGGTCAGACTTTAGGTAAAGGGCACGTGTTCTCTCGCGTGTTCTCTACACGTATTTCGGATGTCAACACCAGGACAGCGTTTGTAGAAACGATTGTTTGACAAATCGTCAGAAAAACCTGACAGTTTGGTTGGAAACGAGAATTTGATTAACTAGCATTCATTAACGTACTACTTGAATTTGTGGTTACTGTAATCAACTTAATGGCAAAAAGTGAAGTAAAAAGTCTTGTGCTCAGAGACGTAATTGATTGTTTAATTTCCCAAGAGAACACCATTGACAAATTGTTTGTTACGACTGTCACAACGCAATCTGCTTTATATATTATTTTGGAACGTCATACAATCAACATTTAGAGATACTTGTATTTATTGTCGTTTCAGACAAGAGTTTGTCCCTACCCATTTATTGAGCTGCTTGTTTTTAGATAATTTTCACCATGACCATGTCGTTCAATACATTATTTCTATAGGATTTGTCTGTAGAGACAAATATATTTTTCCCACATACATATGGACTAAATGTCGAAGGCCTTAAGAATAATTTGAGTAAATGCGAAGCAAAAAGGTCAACCGTTTTAATTTTACGGAAACTTCCGAGAATTGCCTAATGGTCCTTAGTGAGCCTATTAAGAAAACTTGTTTCTTATTTTCTTGATAATTTACTTCCGTTGATAACAATTGAATAATTCCAGTCATTTGTATTTTAGAATTGAAATGTAGAAAGTTAAAATACAGAACGTGACCAACATATCAGTTCATCCTTTATCATTGACATGTGAAGCACATTACTATTGATATCCAATTCGCCATTTATTAGTTTGGCTTGCTATTAAATGAAAACCAGTTATGGAACTAGATAGATCTTTTCAAGTTTTTGTACTAAATTTGTGCAAATTGTTGGCTTTTGATAACGGAAATTCTACCACTTGATCAATTGACGAGGTAGGGCGTCCAGTGCAGTGTCCAGTGTGGGATATTCAATGACTATTGGAAAACAGTAGAAAATATTACACAAAGTGGACACGTGTCTGCCATTTTCTTTATCACCGACATTCCCGCACCATACACTGTATCGGACACCATTTCTCGTCTTTTCGCTCACCCAAGACAATTACTTTCAAGTTCGGCAGGAAATTTCCCCTGTTTTCATTATCTAGTTTGACAGGGAGTTTATTTCTCTGTAGTCTGTAATGTCATTAACTAGTTGGACATGCTAGATCTCTCTAATGACATTAACTTGTCTGGTCGACACAGACACAACCGTCATGTTAATGAGGCTTTTGTCAGTTGCCAGTCCCTTTGGTCAAAAGATATACATTATGTTTTGCGTAACGTCATTGATAATCCTCTTTATGGACTATTAACATTGTTCACTATATTACAGTTTAAATCAAATTGAACCTATAGTTTACTCTCTTGCTATGGGATCCACCTCATGGTAAGAAAAAATTCATGGTCAGTACCTTTGGTACTTTAGGGAGTCGATCCAGAGTCGGCTTCTAACCCCTACCATCATTAATACTAAATTAAGTCTCGGAAAAATCGATTTGCTGTGAAAGGTTAAGATGACGACCATTAAATGTTATACCACATTGGCTACACTTGAGTAGATTTGCAAGAATGTCAATCGAATTAAAATCAAATTACAATTCCATTTCCTCTTTCGCCTATGCAAATCACGTTTTGATTGGTTGGAAAAAAATATAATTATACAACGGGACTGTAGTAGGACACTTGTTAGAGTACAACTGAGACGAAAAATATCAGAAAACAAATAGAAACGAAATTGTTATCTGATTTTGATTATATTTCAAGAATGTAGAGATGAGTGAAACCGTAAAATATTACCTTTCGTGAACAGATTCAGCGATTCCCCAATCCATAGCACTCAGTTTAACCTTCGGACATAAGAATACATTATGTGAATTGAGACATTTTAACGCAATTCCTTTAGCATGAAGATACCCCATTCCAAGCGCCACCTGTCGTAATATCTGTACTTTATCATACATAGTTATCTTCTCGTGTTTTATATGGATATGTTCATACAGTGATGTTCCTCTGTGATAGCTGAAAATAAACCAATTTTAAAGGGATTGTAAAACGGTTTTCAAATTTTGTGTATCGGTGACAATGATAGCATCAATTTGCACCATTCCAATTTCTGTGGTTCCTGCAATTACACTACAATTAAGCGTTTAACGACGTCACTAATCACAAAATACGCTTCATCACGTAAGGCCCTGCGATTAATGACGCAAGCACTTAGTTTTAGTGGAATTGCAGAAACCACAGATGTCTGATTGAAAATTGGATTAGTACAAATTGATACTATCGATGTCCCAGATTCACATAGAAAACTTAAAAATTTGTTTTACTATCCCTTCAAGAATATAGTAATCATTTCAGAATGCGGAATTCATTTTTTATTCCAGACGAAATAACTTCCGGCTTATATCCTATTATGTAACGTGAACATTTAATTTGACCCATTATCGTTGCATATTACGGTGTAATAGGACAGCAATTAAGATACAGACATAATTATATGGAATCAAAAAGTAGATCTCGACAGAGTCATACAAGATTTTTTATTTGATTTGATCATAAGGAGTGGTAAGATGTAAGCTTAAAGTTATGAATGTAAAAAAAGCCTTCAATAGTGTATAGGTGGGTTTGGAACAACGATTTACCTTGTGACGACAGCTAAATCGGGAGATTTGGTACAGGCAGCCATAAACAGAATAATATTTTCATGTCGTATTCGACACAGTTTGGTTAAATTCTTCCAGAATGTATCAGTGACGTCATCTTTATCTTGAAATACATGTACAGTCACATCACCGTGCCATCGACCTCTGGAATGAAAACAGCTCATTTGATAATTTGTTAAAACTGGGGTCAGTTATTCAAAATATGCAAATAACCCATTTTTTCACATTCTGTCGCATGTCATATCAGTCTGAAACTGATTATTTACAGCCTTTGCGATATGTTATTTGACAAATATTGCAAGACGAACTAGACAGTGGCACAACTACAACAGGCACATGGTACCCACTCCTAAAGAGGCCCCACCGCCAGAAAAAATACAATATTAAAACAATTGTACCAGATAAGTATCTAAAAAAATTCCTTTGTCACTCCACTCACCTAGTTGTATAAGTTCAGAACAACGACCCACCGACCACGTCTAAAAGGAATTGAAATCGTTCATCCACAATGTAGCAAGCTTCCGACACCAAAAGCGTGTTGATCTATACCTACCTGTAGATTTTACAGCGGGCACCTTGTTTTAAACATTCTATAATCTCTACTGATTGGTATGGTATAGAAAAATCTTCTAATGACCGTCGACCTTGTAATATTAATCTAAAAAATAAAATTACACGGAATTTACGTCCTAGTTTCTACTCTATATGAAGCTGATAAAAAGAATTAAGTAAGAATGCGCGAAAGTGAGGAACACTTCTGTTCAATCGATATCAAGATGCCTGTGAAGGATTACAATGAGCTACCGCGGCCCCATAGTGTAGTAGTGCCGTTGCGTATCAATGTGTACCAATGCGTGCAATCTTTTAGTTGTGAATTGCGTATACGGTGCTTTACCTATGCGTGTACAGTGCGTGAAAATACCTCAACGCTGCGAAGCACCAAAAAAAACCACGCCTAACGACTTGCCATGATCAGTTGCGCGGCATAAAGGTACAAAGGTAGAGCATAAACTTACTTTTCGATGAACTCTCGACTCTCAGACAACAATTCATCTTCAAAATCATCTTCAGTTGTGATTTTCCTACCAGGGATTGGCCAGGTCATTAATAACCGTTTAAACCCCACCAGATCCTCATTGGAACCCACTGGGCTGGGTTTCGGTGGACAACTGTTGGTCGTAGTGAGAGGATTCTTAACTGTCAGTCCATCAGTGGGAACACGGAGCGGTGACAGTTTCTTTTCGTATCCAAGATGGTGCTGTAGAGCCTCTTCAACATCTTTTAAATCCTGTTGGTTGGACAACAAGGTCCGTCTCTCTGGACTCCCCTCTCGGTCAAATTTGGGAGAAAATTTATTCAATTGTAATGTCTGTAACACAGGCCTTTGTTTGGGACTAACTTTGTTATTTGATTTGTTGCTATGACAATCACGTTCTTTAATGCTATTAGTATCGTCTGTCGTTATTTCAATTTTAACTATTTGGTTAACTGATTCTGTTTTTGTTAATTTCTTGTGATAAAAGTGTTGTGTCTCGGTCGGACAAGCTCCTCTTAAAAATGGCTTTTGATTAATGTGTCTGGACTCGTCCAAACTTTCATATTTTCGCCGCGCTCGAATCAATTTCCGGAAGCGTGCACACACCCTTGCGAACACTCCAATCGGTCGAGCATCAGGATCAGCTAGTTCCTCACAATGTTTTCTTTTCTTCGACTTCCTACCACATTCACAATTTGATCGAGTCTCAGTTTTAATTTGTTGAACTCGTAGAACTTTTTTCCAGTGAAGCTCGCCTGAAAATACAAATTAATAGAATATTAGGAATCAAATTTCAGCAACAATCTAAGTGTAATCTAATATCCTTATTATATTAGCAATGTTTTCTTGACGAATGATAATAACGGCACTAGATTACAAATAAGCGTTATACTGAATATCATAGATGAAAAGTGATATAGTATGATGGTATTGTTTAAGATCTGTCACTGGTTACTGCAGTCCGATTGTATTTAAATGTATACTTCTTATTAGTTTCTGAATCGTGATATTTATACCTGAAATTGATCTCTATTGACAGCCAATGTAAATATTGAAACGAATATACCCTTATTAAATTAAATTAAGTCTGGGTATTGTTTATTGCTCTAGTAACGAATTCGACTTATCCATGATAACTGTTGACCAGTGGCGTTTTTATACGGGGAGTGGGGAGTGAGGGGTGCAGGTTCAGCGGAGGGGTGGGGGTTGTTATAGGTGAAAATTGCCTGGTGGCCCCCCTTGGCAATTCCGTGGCCATTACTCAGCCTCCTTACCGAATAATTCTTTCAGACGCCACTGCTCTTGACTTTATTAGTTACACATGTACCTCAATTTACGTTTGCCATTTTAATGATCGTTTTTGCTGTCCGAATCAAATATTGTAAAAATTATTCTTGTGCATTACATTTGTATTACCATCGATTAATTCCCAAAAAGGTATTGAAATGACAATTCTAGTCGCAGAGATGAATCAGGTCCGGATGTAGAGTTATTCCTTATCTCGACTCATATCATTGTAATGAAGCTATTGGACTAGGAAGATTAAATTTAACAAGTAGAAAAATGTGTCGTGTTTCACATAAATATTTTATTAGAAACGGAAGAACATAACTCGGTAATTTAAGTTTTATGAATAGGACAATAACATTAATGTGTTACAGTGGCAATAATCATTACTGTTTTACATTTTCATTCAGCGTACACATTGTGAATAAATAGTTAGATATGCCGAACATTCGTACAATTTGTTAATCTTTTGCCAATTTGCCAATCAGACATTTTGTCGTTCATGATATTTTGTCCGTATTGCTAACTACTGTTTTTGTCTCACGATTCACAATCACCTGGCTCATTTGAAACTTTGATATTTGCCTCTTTGGGTATTTAGTCGGGGGTAAGGACAGTTGTTCACCGAAAAATTGTTCACTGGAAATATGCCCACCAGACAGATGCTCACCAGACAGATGCTCACCAAAGAATAAAGAAATAGGTCAATTGCTCACTATAAATTTATAAAATAATTCTTTTCTGTTTAAATTCAATATTTAAGACCTACTGCTCCTATTGATATCTAACCCTGTTGAGAGTGTTAATAAATAAGGCGATATCGACCATCGTGGTTAATGGAAGTATAAAAGGTGGCAAATGACAACAAATTGTGTTATTAGTCAATCAAACCGAGATCGAAGTAGCTTGGGAATTACTTCCTCTGTTCATTTCCAATTCCAAGACTTGTACTCTCATTTACTATACTGAAAAATCAACCTACAAATCGCTGTAATGAGAGAAGTACTATGATGTCAACAATACTGAGTTCATATTCCTCCATGCCTATTCCTGTCTAATTGATAACTGTCAAGGGATCTGCCATTTTCCCGGTAATGTTACCTTCATTTTCTGTTATTAACCAAAACCCATGGCTTATAAGTTAAAATGGGAAAATAATAGTTTATGGAAAGGGAGAAAAATGTGCATGATGGAATGATTGTACCTAAGGGAAGGATAGATCACGAGCTAGTTTACAAGAGGAAAATTAAAACGAGAGGAAAGCCTAACTTCCAGATTCACCAAATAGTTTAAGATAAACGTGGATAATTTACGAGTTGGAGGAAGGACGAATAAGCTACAAGAGAGAATATAAGTATATGAGAGGATAGACAGTTTACTGGTCAATGGAATAGTTCATGTTTCGCCATTATGTTGTTTTTGTTGTTGTTCTTGGTTTATTTATTTATGCCAGAAGAAGACGTTTTCCGTTGGAATCTATAAGCGAGGATAATTCTAGATTTGATCTGACATTTCAATAGTCTCTGTGACATTAAAGGTCTATCATTTTCTAAAGTCTAGCTGAATGTTAAAGTTTTAAAATAAAGTAAAAGTTAAGCAAGCTAATCTCGGAGTGCTTCACTGATTAATCGTCATAGAAACAGAAGAATTATTTATCTATTAGAGTTGAAATCTATCAAATAGAACAAGTAAATACTGTACTTATGGGAAATACAATTTGGATTAACCTCAGAAGTAGATTATTAACTTAATATTATTGTTAATATGTAATACTTTGAACCTCTAAGTAAGAGGGAGAGCATACATTATTGTTTCAGGGAAACTTACAGATTACATGGCCCAAGGCCAGTTTCTTTGTAAAAATCGTTAGAGGTTGGCTTTACTTTGTGTTTCGCAATCCCACAATTTGCCATTGCTATATATCAAGATTAGGGTCAACATGACGCGTTTTGATTGGTCAAAAATAACGCCAGAAGAATGTGACTACCGTAGAAAACTTGTTAGATTAAAATGGAGACAATTGAAATAGATAGCTTGTATGAATAGTCATACAATAGACGACCAGTAAAGACAATCACCCCTTCAGCCGCATTAGCCTTTTAAGCCACAATCAATTGACTTTAATCAACAATAATGATTGATCTTGAATCTTGGGAATTACAGGAAAAACCAGGTTGATATGACAAAATTAATAGAATTTTTCCACCATCCCAGTCATTGCTACAAGGCAGTGTCATCAATATCAGATCAATCTTGTTGTAAACGTATTAACTGTTTAATTATTAATATGTTTATGATCAAGCTGAATGCGATATAGTATATTTCCAATTACTGATGCTCTTCTATATCTTGACACCCGAAGCATTTGTCTCTTGACGTAAAATTCTTGGTAAATGTTTATGTCACTCAATGATCTGAATGATGAATCTTTGTCGAAGCTCTCTCTAAATAAAGCTTACGATCAAGTCCATCTTCTAAACTCAGAATTCAAGCTATTTATTTCAGGTAGACAGTATTAAGTACCAAATCTCAGTACAAATAGGTCAAAAAATTCTTTATTCCATATTCTAGTAATTTATCAACCAAACACAAAATATATCTGTCCCAGTTGTATTGTTTTATATTGTGTTTGTTATATTCCAATTATTTATTATATGTATTTTTATACTTGTCAATCTTGTCGTCCTTGTATTACACAAGAATTCCCGATAGGTTAATAAAGAGTTATCTTATCTTATATATGTCGACAGAATTAATGAAGGAAATTTCTTAATTTAGTATTTTAACACTTGATTCACCCTTGCTCTTGGTTTTGTTAAATCTAATTCTTTTACGAATAGTCCAAATGAGTTATAATATCTATTGAGTATCCTTTTGATGGATGCAGTCTACTACTGCAACTAAACACCACACCATTGCCCCTCTGGATATAGAACATGTTCCTCCGAACAATCAAGTCTGGCTGCGGGCCCCGTTTCACAAAAAATCTCTCGATGATAATTTGTTGTAAGTGTAGATTTTAACATTGAGAAATATCATATTGACGACAAAATTGATCTAAGATTATTTATGGAATGGGGTTGTCAACACTGCTTTCAGAGTCCATATATTTTGTAACACCATTTAGAATCGTATATTAATAATATTCGAAAACCTCACCATGCAACTTAGAGACTTGTTTGACAACCCTACTTCTAGAGTGCATATAACATTGCTAAATTTCTTGATATAACCTTTATGCAAATCTATCACAAGTTTTGGAGTTCTTTCTTACAGTGTACAAGCCTTAAATATCATCACCTATTCTCCTGGTGTCAGCTCTACGACTTGTTTTGTGATTTTTATTTTTTTCTTCCGAGTATCAAAAGAATGTCTAAGAAGAAAATCTTACCAGAATACAAGCTCATTTCACGTCTCTTCTTATAATCCATTTTCTGAAATAAAACACAAAGAATATAGGTAAAAATTATGGTAATATCCGTTGTTTTCTCAATGAGGCTCGGGAAGTAATAGTCGAAAGACGTGAGCGAGATAATAATGGGGCCAATTCCATCACTTTGTTATAGAATCTTGTCGTGATTCATTGACACTTATATAAAAGTATCTACGTACAGAGATCATCGAACATACAAGTGCGAAAGACGTCATGTGGTAGAAAAAAAGTTTCAATAGCATGCTTAACTATGACACTCGAGAGGGAAGATGGCGTCATCAACATTATGTAACCAAAAATGATTCATTATGTAACTATGCATCTATTTGCTTGGATTTCTGCTTTAAATGAATCAAGATAGTTTTCCTTATATCCTTAGAATGTACATCGTGGACATGTTTATGCTCTTTTGAACCATTTTGTGTAATGTGTTACAAAACTTGACCAGATGATAACTTTACTTTCGAAAAATGTCAAGCTTTAAGTTTTCTCGGTATACATTCATTTGCTAGAAAAAATCCTTTTTGAATCCTTTAACCATCTTCACAATGTTGAAGTATTGCAAATTTTTACAATGTCAAGGTTACGAACTCCGTCTAATAACCTGGCATCAAGTTTGTAAATGCAAAGTTTTGTTCGGATTGAATCTCTGCAATAAAATACTTCTGTGATATAAGAAAATGTATTAGACGGATTTCTAAATAGCTTGATATTGTAAAGATTTCTCTTGAGGTGAGTTCGTCTGAAACGAAGGAACGAAAGGTATCACGTTCAACAGCTCCGAGTTTGATACGGATTAATTACAATAAATCATAGAAAATCTTCTTTCATTTTAAGACCTTTAACAAAGTTCTTAATCTTTTTAAGATCGTCTCAAGTTTTTACCGACCATGATATTGCACAATAGTTTGGTGATATTTCAACAATAAACAGGTTTTTCTATTTTAATACCATTAATTTCTGATTTCAATCTCTATATATTTGCTGTTTGACGTGGTAAGGTGGACGTTTAAAAACCTTTTATTACAACAATTTTGATATGAAGAATTATGTTTGCGTTTGATATTTTGATATAACATAAATGTTCATAAAAATATATATCATTAAAAAAATTTGATATTGCAATAGCATTTGATATGCCAAGGCAGACTTTTAAAACCCAGTCAGGTCTTTGGAGGGGGAGATGGCATTTAGAATTGCAGACAACGCACTATTGGCAAAAAGTTATGCTTAATTAGACAGATGCGCCATTTTTGTGACCAGTCATCTTTTAGTCTCAGATACGGAACTTCTTTTGCTAAACCAATCAGTAATAGTGTTCACAGCATACCGTCGAAATTTGATTTAAATCCAAAATTCGATTATTAAAATGATGAGTCGTCATTTTAAGATATACTCTGTGATATATAGAAAATAGTGAATAAAAGTCCTAGTTTGAAGTATTTTTATAGGAATTATGCGATTGTCTTACATTTCTAGTACTTCTGAAGACTATTTACATTTAAAACTCAAACCAACCCCCAAAATGGCACATCTGTCCCTTTAACAGTATGTCAAATGCATGTATATAAGAATCTAGATCAACATGAAAATGAAAATATACACCTATCTTCTTTATATTGCAAAATATACATGTTATAGTGCAAAAGCAGAGCCAAGACTGAATGTTACAAACTTTCAACAAGTGGTTGCCTAGCAAGATAAGCCCACTTTCCTGATACATTTTCAGTATATCAAGGGCGGTCACCTATCTGTGTCAAATCATTCCAAAATTTAATTTGTGCAAGATATTGTTGATTTAAACAAACACACATTATTTAATAAAATTCTGACATAAACTGTCACCTCTAACGCTAAGAAATTTTGATGCGTTTTACTAAGTCATGGGCAATAACTCAAATTCCATTGATCGAAAAAATTGTCAAATTTAATCTCCTGACTAAGATCTCATCATTGTAAATGATCATACCAAATTTCATTTAAATCGGATGGAAACTGTAGTCTCTATTGTGTTCACAAATTTTGACGCGTTTTTCATAAATCAATTGCAATAACTCAAAAACCATTCATCAAAAGATAGCCAAATTCGAACTTGTCCAAGATCTCATCATTATAAATATTCACACCAAATTTCATTGAAATTGGATGAAAACTGTAGTCTTTATTGTGTTCACAACCAAATTTTGACGCGTTTTTCATAAATCAAGGGCAATAACTCAAAAACCGTTCATCGAAAGATCGTCAAATTCGAACTTGTCAATGATCTCATGAGTATAAATGATCACACAAAATTTCATTAAAATCAGAAAACTGTAGTCTCTATCGCGTTCACAAGCCAATTGTGGACAGACGGACGGAGGGACATGGGTGACGACAATATACGTCCACATTATAGTGTGGGCGTATAAAAATTAGACTTAAAAAGGATTAAAAATTATAACAATTAGACTTCACTTCACAATAATATGATAAAAAAAGGCAGAGATATTTTCGAAGCTGAGGCACTCATATGGTGTGATTTTACTAAGATAGATATTCATAATTTAGCACTAGTCGTCATTGCCAACAATCTGGTAAAATGCCTTGAGCTCTTCATTAGTTTGTCTTTCATCCAGCCTGAGATTTCTCACTTTGTCGAGTGGTTTTTATACAATTTTGATTACTGTTTTTTTCTCGTGAAAATATCTGTGATCCTTACGGCAATTGGATTGTTATAATTGACATGACTATAATACTGGGTCTTATTTTATCTTTGCTTATATTTCAAAATGTTTTTGTCTCATCTCTGTTTTATCTCCCCTTGTCACTGCCTTATCTTTGTCTTATCGTGCATTATATTTGTCTTATCTTGTCTTATCCCAGTCTTATCTTTTCTTATCATTTGTCTTATCTTGTTTTATCTTTTTTCTTTTCTTTATCTTTGTCTTATCTTGTCTTATCTTTCTCTTATTTTAATCTTATCGTCCTATCTTTGTCTAATCTTGTTATGTCTTTTTTTCTATCTATGTCTTATCTTGCCATATGTTAGTTTTATCGACTTATTTTTGTCGTTTCTTGCTCTTATCACAGTCTTATCTTTGTCTTATATTTCTCCTATCTTTCCTTATCTTAGTCTTATCTTTGTTTTATCTTTGTCTTCTAATGCCTTATCCGAGTCTTCTCGCTTTATCTTTTCTTCTTCTTATCTTGCCCTATCGTTTTCTTGTCTTTGGCTCATTTTCGTCTCTCCTTTTGTCATCTGTATGCCATATCTTTCTTATATATGTGATACCTTGTCTTTGTTTCATTTTTGTTCCCCATATCTTCAGTTATCTTTGATTGTCTTACCTTATCTTGTCCTCTCTTATCATTTTTTATCTTATCTTTTCGGTAAAGTCTCTTCCTTTAAAATTTTATTTTCTTATCTTGTTTGTAATCTGTACTTCTCTTGATTCAATTTATCTTGATCTTTAAGTAGATGAAATTCGCAAATATCTCAGAGATTGGAGGTTTCTTATCTGATTAAGGAATTATCTATAGATATTGGTCTGGAAGGCATTGTATCAGGACATACAGATATATCTAAACTCGGGTCTTCATCAGAACCATATTTAGCTACAATTGGCGTACTGTATCTTAATCTAAACCTGAGGCCAAACAGTCAAGTTCATAAATCGGCCATGGTAAAAGGACTGTATGCAAAATGAAAAGTTTTTCTATAATATTCTATTAACTTACTTTTGTTTCTACTTGATCAAGCTGAATTTGTTTTAAAACGGACGATTAAAATGTGTAGTTAATAACAATTTAAAATAATTTTGATGAGCCTTTAGCAGAAAGATATTTGAGTTAAAACTATCAGATTATGAAAACTGTACAAATTATCTACTCTTTAGTCTTTAGTTTGCAATAATTTCAGCAAATAAATTCCACAACCAACTTAAAAATCATTTTGTCCCTTTTACTTTACTTATTTACTGGCAACAGTCTAGTCATTACTGTTTTAGCCGTTTCCCCTCGAAGCAGTAGGAACTGTCTATCAGGCTTGAGGGATTAATACCCAAGAAGAAAACCACCAGACTATGGGGAAGAATGAAGATCAATAATCAATGTTACTCTACGACTTCGTATTATCATCTTAACATTCCTTAGAGTGCACTAGCTTATTGTCTTGTTTGGTCAACCCTTTTCTTACAGTTCATGCAATTCCAGTCCACGAAAACCAAAAATAGAAATAAGCCTCAGGTACAATTAGCAGAATATCAGAACCAATGGCGTTCCTACGGAGGGGCCAGGGGCACAATGCCTCCCACTACGCTCCCAGAAAAGATGCTGCCCCCTCCTCACTCACTTTCAATTCATTTTAAAAAGCCACTGATCAGTAACTCCTCATTAATAGAGATTAATTTTTTTGTGGACAAAGCATTTGATTGGTTGAATATTTATGTAATCGTACCATCTTATAAATGTTGTTAGATCAGGGATTAGTGCAATAACCCACAGTGAAGCGATAAATTTTGAGCAATTTACCCATTCATCAAATCAATTATAATGAATACTCTTAAGATAATCTTTTAGTGCTTTAACGTGTGATTATTTTTATCAGACAACCATTTCTCTGGATATACTGAAACCCCTCTGAAACACATCGATCTGGTAGAAAATAGTATAAGCGAATCGTGTTTGCACCCGTACCTCGTGTGTTCACTTGTTCTATTTTCGTTTGTATCGATTATTCTGCACCGTACACCGCGCCGGACACCGTATATCGTTTATTCCCACATTAAAGCTTAGACGACGTACGGTGTGGGAATATTGATACGGTAGAAAATAGTAGAAACGGGCCCGTACCTCTTGTGTTCACTTGTTCTATTTTCTGCTGTATCGTAACCTGCACCGGACACCGTACACCTTAAACCGGCATATTTGAAAAGTCCGAAGTAAATATTTTGATCGAAAAGAAAATGGAGCACTTACCTTAAAACCTGTTAATTGAATGCAAAAATCAGATTTGAATTGTGTAAGTACAAAGATCTTTGAGTTATCCTCTGCCAATCTGACATTTAAATGTACTTTCCCCTTTCATCTCCAGCAAGCTTGTACTTTCCACTTTCCAATGTAACCTTTCAGAGTACCAAACATTAACGAATATTCCAATTGTTTAGTTTCTAATTTCCAGATGACAGCTATTTCACGATCGTGGTTTTCTAATGCAGTCATTCTACATTAAAAAATTGTTTAAGTTTCTAATTACATTTTAACTTCCCCCTGTCATATCGAGTTTAGATTTGTCTCATAATCGGTTGATGTTCAATATCTAAACCATTCCAATATCACTCAATACTTTGAGTCAGCTTTTACTATAGTTTATTGTGTATTCATTTCATATAACAGTTATTTATTTCCATTCACTACGAAGTTAAAGGGATTGTAAAAAGGTTTTCTAAAATTTGTATGTGCATCTGGGACACTGATAGCACCAATTTACACCATTCCAATTTGCATTCATACGTCTGTAGTTAAAACTAAGTGACGTCGCTAATCGAAAGTCAAGTATACTTAAATAATAAGGACTTCTCGATTTATGATTTATGAAATTGAAAGAACCACAGATCTCTGATTGAAAATTGGTTTGGTGCAAATTGATGCTATCAGTGTCCCCGATACACATAAAAAGTTTAGAAAACCTCTTTAAATCCCTTTAAGACAGAGAATGATGTCATCATCTATTCAACAAAGCTTTTACATATTACTATTTATTGATAAGATCATGGTTAAAAGCAACGGAACCCGGCTGTCCAAATTATAAAGATCTTAATACCAACTACCACGACTACCTACAACTACCTAGTCTGCACTATCAGTTATCTAAATGCGGACGTTAGCTTTACATCTACCATCAACTACCTGGTCTGCGATATCAGTTATCTGGAAGCGGACATTAACTTGTCATCTACCAACAACTACCAAGTCTGCAATATAAGTTATCTGGAAGCGGATATTAACAACATCTACCAACAACTTGGCCTACCTATATCTCTGATAACAGTTATCTAGACGCAGACGTTAACGCGTCATCAACCAATAACTAACTACATCTCTGATAACAGTTACCAGAAGCGGACATTAACTCGTCAAAAACCAAAAACAACCTAATGTGCGATATCACCAGTTAATTTGTCATCTACCAACAACTACCATTATACATCCTAGTGTGCGATATCACCAGTTAATTTGTCATCTACCAACAACTACCATTAAACAACCTAGTGTGCGATATCACCATTTAATTTGTCATCTACCAACAACTACCATTATACAACCTAGTGTGCGATATCACCATTTAATTTGTCATCTACCAACAACTACCATTATACAACCCAGTGTGCGATATCACCATTTAAT